TTATTATTATATAAATGAATATATTTCTTAATTTCCTAAATCTACTCTAAGTGATTAGCTATCTAAGTATATTGAGTTATAAATTTAGAATAAGAAATATTGTTATTATTTATCTCTTTAATTATTAATTTTATTAATTTAGGGTTTAGCTTATTATATAACTTATCTTTTTATTATATATATAAAGTCTTTAATTTTTAAGTATAATATATAAATGTTAATAAGAAGGTCTGAAATCAGTTATTTAGCTTTATAATTAAGTAATAAAATATAGTCTTTATATTGATAACTTATTTTATATTATAGTAGATAGTCTTAAGATGTTTAAAAATATTCTTAATATCCCTATATAGTTTAATAGCATCATCTTGGAATTAAGAAAGAATATGGTTTGTTGTTTTTTTATAGTATATATATTATATATATATTATATAGGTTAAGGAGTCTAGATAATAGTTAATATTAGCCTTTAATTTATCTTTAACTCTAATAAGCTAGGATTTAAAGGAGGAATTTTTTTTATTAATTAGGACTAATTTATTAAAAAATTTAATAGTCTTTTTACTGCTATCTTTAATAATAAAAGAGAATTCTTTAAGACTTAGTTTAATAAATTAATATTATAAAAGGTCTTATTTTTCTACTAATTCCTTTATTATTTTATATTAATTTATAATAGTCTCTTTATAAATATCTTATTACTTCTCTAATATATTAATTTAATATAAGTTCTTATACTGTTCTTATATTAATTAACTAAATAATATAACTAGGTTCTTATCTATATATTTTTTAAATATCTTATATTTAATATTCTAAGATTTTTATTCTTTATTATCTTCTACTTTTAAAGAAAGATATAATAGATAATATTCATCTAGCTTCTCTAACACCAGTTTAAGTAGTTAAATTATCTTAGTTTTTAAGTCTAGAATCTAGATCTTGATTTAAGAATAATAAAATAAGAAAAAAAGTGATTCTAAATTAAGTATATTAAGTTATTTAAAATTAGGGTGTTAATCTGCTTATAGATTTATAAGGATTAGTATTAATAAGTAAATAGAGTTTAGTCTAATATAATAATATAATATTAAATTTATTTAGTTACTAAATATTAAGAGACTAAACTAAAAAGAAGAAGAAAAGAAAAAAATAATTATTAATTATCTTTCTCCTATTTATACTTTCTTCTATTCTAGATATCTATAAGCTATCTTTATTATATATTAATACCTAGTAATCTAGATTTCTAAAAGGTTTCAATAATATAGAATATTAGCTAATAAAGATTATTTGCCCTTCTTAATATTATAAAGATCCTCTAGTAATCTGCAGCATGAATCAAAACACAGGATAATCCTTATAAGGCATATCTAGCCCCATATCTTCCCTGCATGTGATTTGTCCACAGGAGGCGGCCTGCAGGTACTTCCGCAGTAACCGCGTGCCGCCAAGCCAAATCGTACTAGGCCGTCACATTAATCAGGATATTCTATCTTATTTTAAGACTTCATTTATTTTTTACAACTTTTGTATACCAGAAGCCTATTAACTTCGCCCATTAATAGCTATCCTAGCTATACTCGACGGTAATCGAACCGAAGTTTCCGACAGGTACTAACTATGATTAAAGTTGAGGACTTATATAAAACTTTTATATATAATGTGACGATGCAATGCCAAATCTATTTGGTCGCTAAACACGAAGAGACTAAACTGGAGAGAAGAAGAAGAGAAAAGAACAACTACCGGCCCCCTTCCTCCTACTTATACTTCCTTCTACTTCGGATACCTGTGGGCTATCTCCATTGTGTGCCGGTGCCTAGTAATCTAGATTTCTGGAAGGTTCCAACAATATAGAATACTGGCCGGCGAAGGCCATTTGCCCTTCTTGATATCACATAGATCCTCCGGCAATCTGCAGCGTGAATCAAAACACGGGGTAATCCCCACAAGGCATATCTAGCCCCACATCTTCCCTGCATATGATTCGTCCACGGGAGGCGGCCCGCGGGTACTTCCGCAGTAACCGCGTGCCGCCAAGCCAAATCGTACTAGGCCGTCACATATAAGTCCTCAACTTCCTTCCTTTTATAGTTTAGCGTTAAGGCTTTAGGTTTCTACGCTAGTGCTACCGCCTGCCCAAAAAGGCAATAGTTGTGAAGATTTAGTTGAGGACCCACCTGCGCAAGGCCTCTAATTACGATGTCCAAACAGTTGAATATGCAGATCGAGAGAATTGCGCTAGTCCACACAGGGTTAAGCGCGCCCATGCTAACCAATGATCTACGATCCTGTTGCAGAGCCTAGCCATATAGAGACTGGCGTACATCATTCTACAGAAAACTAGGGTTATTATTTATAGCCCTAATTGTAAAAAATTGCCATGGTCCTGCAGTATGCAATTCTTACCAAGAACCCCGGAATCCTGAGAAAAATATCCAGACACATCAACTGCTTCACCTCAGCTGGGGCACAAGCGAGATACATAGGCCTAGGGCTTTAGTACTGGCTGAAATTTTCGCGGAGTATCATGTTAACACGCTGCCACTGCTGTGACCTTTGCCAATGAAGTATTCTATTCATAATGTTTCATGAAATTGTCGCTTCAAATTCTCAAAGAATGATACTACTGTATTGGAAACGGAAGCGGGCACCGTTTGTAATTTCAAAGTCAAATGCTGGTTGATACATCTTTCTGAACTTTTATTCTGTTGTCACCCACCGTTTATCCGAAAAAAACAGGGATGCACCACAGTTTGGCTGTGAAGATCCAAAGTGTTGTGTATGGCGAAAATCATAGTATCTGGGAATAAAATATTTGACATTGGACAATCGCCTGGCTGACGCGCAAATTATAGAATATTCAGCATGGGATACGTTTTTATTATGGTAATTCCAATTAAGATATTACGAAAAGATGTTCTCGTATTCAAAGTTGACAAAAAAGGCACCATTTATACGATTACCAGAAAAGCCCCAGAAGGGGTCCCTTTCTGGTGGCTTAATGGCCAAAAATCCGCTGTTAAAAGTCTACTCGCTACTCTCAACATCCTAAAGCCCTAGGGCTCCTTTGAAAAATGAATTGGTTTTGATTCAACAAATTGTTCCTTCCGAACACCAGACGCCAAGTATCTCAAATGCCAATGGGTTGTCTTTGAATATCCGTCTATCTACCTATCTTACTTCCAATAAGCATTTGCTAGTAGCAGTCTACATGCATGGTGGCGAGTTTGTTAGCGGATCTCAGTAAAGTGTGTAAGGAGTGACTATTCGATCAGTAAGAAAATATCCAAACTACAGACTGGACCCTTGGTATATGTATTACTAAACCACCGGGCAAACTAACCTTCCGAGCCGACTTACCAGATGCCCCTGTTGAGCTAGTAAATAAAATCAAATTCCCGCATAGTAGCCTGGGGTCTCTTATATTCCTACCCAGAGCATCAACGTCGACGTACGACTGTCATTTGTGTGGGAAAGAGACAAGATCCCAGAGCTTCCCCAACGTTCAATAGGGCAACCAATATGAACCTCTTGATTTCTCTCGCCTTCCTTCCTAGTCCCATTGACGTTACTTTTCCTTTCAGGTGTTGCGCAACTCATAATTCAAGCAAGCATAGAGTAGATAGGGAATCAATTCAGGGGAAACCCGGCGATATAATGATAATTTCCGACGACTAGGGTTCTCTCAACTAAAAACAGGTCTCGAGACTGAGCATCGTTATGCCCCGCGGTTATCGCTCCGCCGGCAGTTATCATTACGACGAAGAACAAGCGGACGCCATTTCGAACCGCTGCCTACCATCGCAAAGACACACCCTGTCCGTTATCTGGTTTTCACTTCGTGAACACGTCAATATTCATCCTTGAATTGCAACATCTTCCCCCGGAATGCGAGTGTTGGCCTCGGCTCTCTTGATCGGCTACCCTTTGAGCTCTTGCATGACACGTTGTTCCATTTAGATGTACACTCTCTATTCGCGTCGACAAATAATTCTTCTATCGCGACAGCTGGTAGACTCTCCCAGCAAGCACCAGGTAGTAGTCTCGCTTGGACTGAACCTATTCTGCGCCTTGTTACGAACACGACTCGCCAGTAATGTTACCTTCTTCGACTTTTACAGTGCACTATGCACGAAGCCTTGTAACCTTTGCCGCGAATTTGGTGGATTCATGTCCCTTCTAGCTTGGAAGCGATGCTGTTTGAAATGCCTTCAGGAGGCTCCGGTAACCCAGGTGCGAACCCCCTGCGTCGGTCCGGAAGCAATTCCATTTAATCAAAGGGGAATTAGAGCAATTGAAGCCGTTCAAGTCTTTACCTAGAATATATTCGATGCAGGAATCGGTACACAAATCCCGCATTATGGTCGTTTCTCTTCACCAAGCTATTTTGACTTGCAGAGGGCAACCGCACGCAGTGCCAGAAACCCAGCAAGTAGACTCGGAACGAAAGCAGAAATCCAATTTTATGGGAGCATGTGCACTCCCTTACTACAATAAGCAAAGTGGAAAAGTCGAAGATGGGATCTCATGTGCCGGCTGTCAACTTGCTCTCGAAAAGGGCATTATCGGCAGTCGGGCCGAGAACTGGGCATTCGATGCTCGAGACAAAGTATATGCGCAAGACAGCTTTTTAGAACATTTCCGACGGTGTGAACACACACAGATCGTGTAGAGATCAAGTGGCTAAGGTAACAAGCGACCTACGAAGCTACCTGGGGCTGCTCGGAGTGGAGATTTCTGCAATAGGAGAAAATGAAATGGGTGTAAACCCTTCCTCCGTTTATCGCATTGAGACTATACCACGAGTGACTAAAATCATTCAGTACAATGGCTGAAATTTCAGATATCCACTCCGTGTTTGCAAGATGTTTCGTACTCTGTTCATAATAAATCCAATATTTATCTAAAACGCGAAGGGATTTCGCTGACAGTTGGCTTACAACTGCGAGACGAGAGCGTAACTCAATGGAATCCGCCGCATCAATTCTTTATGTTCATAAGCCACCGCTATTCCTCTTAGTTTTCCTCGTCGCCGACATTAATGCCTCAGACCTATCTCCGACTGCCGGCTCATGCACAATCTCGATCGTCGTTTCTTGGTAAACCCCTTGATGCATCAGATCATACTCCCTATCCATCTTCGAAACAATGTCATCCGTTGACAGATCGCGTTCACCGTGCGAGTCGATCGTGTCCATCTGATAGGATTCTGTCGTGCGGAACCGCGAGCCAAATTTCCCTTGTTTGTGTTTGTTCCCCTTCCCTGCAGCTATGATCGTTGAAATACTTGTTCCCGGGATCCTAGACTCGTTGCGCTGATTTGAATATGGCTTGGTCGGGATACTTCCGTCGCTATCGAGAAGTAGATGACGACGTGTGATGGTATAAACAATCACGTCCACAGCGCCGGACAGAGCCATGAACGAACCGGCTACAGCAAAATACGTTTTACTGGGCACGACGCCGCGACTAACTGCCATACGACCGGCGGCGAGGGGTAGTGACAGAATAACGTAGACAACAGGGTATATCACCATGTAAATAACTACGCGGTTGAGGCGGCGCAGCGATTCTTGCTGGGTTTGCATTGCAGCCGAGGATTGTTGCATACGGCGACGAAGGTAGATAGTCATGAGGCCATAAAGGACGATGGTTCCGAATTCAGCGATGAAAATCCAAAAGTAGTGACCCCAAAGTCGCTCATCCTCGTGTGCAGGACTGAGCCAGCACTAATCAAAGTTGATTCTGTGAGCACGAGTGAGCTGAACCTAATAATGAAGACGAGTACGTACCCAACCAGCCTCGGAGACGACAAACACATTCTTTCCCCACATCCCAACTGGTATAGATCCAAGCATCAGAATAAACATCCAAAGAGCAATAATGCAGCCGCAGAAGACGCCATACGGAAGCTGGCGCCCCCGAAGAATGACGGCAGCAGTATGGCTGGCGATTCCCAGGATAAAGAGACCACTACCGGGATCAGCTGTTTGGATGAACCAGCCTTGCAAGTAGCAAGCCGCGGTATAATACTGTGACCTGCCACGATCCACCCAAACGAGATAAATCAGAAAGGCGATGGCTTGCTGGAGATCGGCCAAGAGCAGGTTGTAGATCAGAACGACGTATTGATTCTCTGCGAGCGGCCGCGTATAATAACGTCGCCAGAAGATCATCCGGTAGGTCAGGAAACCGAGTAAACAGCCTGTGGCGACGACAGATACACAGGCGATTAGGCCAACACCTAGGAAACGTCCTTTCTGGGCTGGATCGAATACAAGCTCTTGCCACTCGGGGTCGATGCCATCCTTCATTGTTGACCGCGCTAACTGGTGCCTTGTATTTCCACTCTCGCCCAACATAAACGCAGGGTCTGAGCAAAATTAGCCAACTAATTCTCATCCGATGTCACATTTACAGGAGGAATTTGGACATGAAAAGTAGAAAATAAACTAGTTTCACTCAACCAAGACTGTCGTATTCCGAGAGCAAAGTTGTTCCCTTATGTACTTTCCGGTCCCAGCTAGGCATTGAGCAGATGCCGATCATGTTTACATGACCGGAATATCAACATCCTTATGCTCCCCGCTTGTCGCTAACGCGATGGCCAATTTTTGGAATGTTTTCTCGGGTCTCCGTGTAAAAGTGGCTTGATGATACGGGGACTGTACACTTTATTCAATGGGCAGTCGATTGTTATTGGTGTGCTGAACCCCTATTTCTCAGCGAGTCGGGTTCTCAGAATACTAATAGGGTTTTGATCCGTGAGGCAGCTGCATGATTCATGATTCGACATCTCGGTCTGCAATCCAACAACCGAGGCGAAGATGCTCGTGCGCGAGATGCAAGTCGAGGAACCAGATCCCGCTCCCCGTATATCAATGTTTGCACTAAACCCTAACATCCACGATTTCTCCTTTGGGGCTTCTGTTACTGGTATTCAGCGTGGCTTTGACTCTTCTTGGCGTCCAAGTCTACCGCTGCCTCGGATCCCCGTCTCCATAACGACACCGTGCTGCTCCACTAATTATTTCTGCCATTGACTTAAACCCCCTCTCTTTCAAAGTTAGTTCAGGGAAGCTTTCCCTGACAAGGCTGTTGGAAACTCTTGGTGTTGACGGTGTTGTGCCCTGGAGTCGGCTAACTTCTAGGAGTAACCGGCTCAGGGCCTAGCCCCAAAGGAGTAAGTACTTGGTAGGCTTGCCTGAACTATATTCCAACATGTGCATCTACTATGAGTCTATATCAAATATAAAGTTGTACCTAGCGACATCTGTGCCCTGCGGCGGCGCGGGAAATGACAAATATTAACATCGGAAGTCCAGGTTGGTTGATCCGCTTCACTTCGATAAGATTATATACTTTCCACGCAGGTCATACCTGACTACTGACTTTGTTAATAGACTTTTGTTCTAATAGTTGAGTAAATTGCTAAATAACGTAAAATGGATGTTGCTTCCGGATTCAGAATGCATACGATGAGTTCAGTACAGAGTTTTCTTACTACATGAAGACAGCGTAGGATTCACAGATGTAATGAATAGATAGCTTCGCTTCACTTATCTATTCTTCAGCCTCCGTTGCGTATGATCTACTTTCGGCCAGGTTATGAACTTCAAAGTCGGAGCATGACTAATAAAAGTTTCTCAGACTTTTGAAGAATACCATTGCAACAGAAAGCCGTTCTTTTATTTTTGACGACATAGATTATCGGATTACTCGAGGCAAAGCACTGGCGAAGGGCTTCCCGAGCTTCATTTCCAATGATGAGGGCCTGACATATTGGTAGAGAGCAGACCTTTGACCATCCTGAAGTCAAATCTCGCCATATTTTGCAGAACTTTAGTTCTCCAGATAAGGTAGTGGTGTTAATCCCCTTTTTCTTCGTGAAGAAAAGCATCAACTCAATAAATTCATTCAAGGTCATGGAAGCTATACTCCCAAGTGTCATGAGTTAACAAGAACAATAGAAGCATTGGTGCTCTACTTTTTTTTAACCATTTGCTGGAATAGATGCTGTTCCATTTTAATTTTGAGGACCGTGTTTTGGTGCACGGGTCATGCGTCGGGAATAACGCTAAGTATACTGCTATGAGTAGAATTATGAGGCAACAGTACCTCGGCATAATAGGGCAGAGCCATGACTTACAGCGACCAGCCAACTCTTTGCATTCACCATATTGAAGTTCCTTAAATATGCTGGCACTGATTAAGAATAATTCTGATCCATTTAGTACCAAGTTTAAATTTTCAAATAACGCGTCTTCATGCCTATACTGAGTTCACTGATGTGCGCCAAGGTGTTGCAGCTGCCAACATGTTAGGGCAACCGTGGCCACGTTATCGTGTTTAGTGAAGAGAAGGACCATACATATTTGGGCGAGTGACAAGATTTTGATTCATTTAAGTACATGGAATTGAATTGTCAGCTATAAAATGTACTGTTCAATCTATCTGCACTCTTTCCTTATCTAGCCAGTCTTGAGCAATACTCGCGCAAGTATGGAACTCGACCGAATCGCCCCAGCTGCGGAGCCAGCCAACAAAACGATCTACCATGGCTGCAACATGAGCCATTCCACTTGTGTCGGGATGCATCAAAAGCGGGAATATAAAAGTGCCGTCGGGGCTTTCAGCTTCGGCGTTCTCCCACAGCCAGAGGAAGATATCCTTCCATCTCTGCTCAACAACACGGACGTCAACATGCCCGTGACTGTTATGTAAGTGTGGAAAGTATTGGAGCGCCATCATATCCTCATTATTCCAGCCGGTTGGGATTTCCACAAGGGGAGGGCCTGAAGGTGTGTTCATTGGGGCAAGTGCTGTAGGGCGCATCCAGCTACTAGCCGGCTTTTCAAAGTCAATTCTCTGGACAGGCGGGTCGGTCGGGGTAAAATATGGCTGCGAGTCATGATGGTTGAGGGACGAATCGTATAGAAATCCAAACTCCTTCAATAACCCAATTGTCGTCTCACGCAGTTGGTACATGGGGGCCCGGTAACCACGTACTTTCTTGCCAGTAAGCCGCAGTGACACTTCCATGCATTTCTGCAACACATCCCTCTCCTGTTCTAGTGTCATCTGGTAGGCGCCCTCGTGGGCATAGCCATGCAGACCAATCTCCGCTCCTGATTCAACAATTTCCTTAACTGTCGATTCAAATGTCTCCATCGTGTGCCCAGGGATAAACCAAGTAACCTTGTCAGCTACCTGGTGTTTCTTTAGCATGCGCAGCAATCGGCGACCACCAATACGCCCGGCAAAGATGCCCGTGCTGTAGTCAGACATGTTATTGTCCGGGTGGTCCCCCGTTCCCAGGAATGCAGATAGTGCGTCAAAATCAAACGACAGGGCAATCTTGACCTTTGGTTTCTTTGCGCTGAGTGAGGTTGGGATGGAGATTTGGGTGTTTTCCTCGACATCAGGACGAGAGCTATAATCAGACCCGGCCTTGGCCTTGTACGTTGCCAAGATGGAGTTCAGAGACACGATACCACTGCTAGGCTTAGTTGATAACAGCATACCAACTGCTGCTAAAATCGCCTCCGCACGTACTTCGCTCGCAGGTTGCGGGAGGTCGATGAAACTAACAAAGGAATTGGTGTGAATCCAGGAGATGTCCCGTTGCAACTTCAAGATGACTTCGTCCAGGGAGCCTCCGAAGGCCTCTCGGTAACCTAGAATCACGATAGAAAAAGGCTTAAGAGTGGCTGCTCCCTCTTGGGACTTGGACTTTTGAACTTGGTGCTGAAGAAAAGATTTGATTGAAGACAACACTCCGCGTAGGGCGGGTTGGGCGTTGTCTTTGAGATCCCACTCGCTGAGAGGCACTTCCCAGATAGGGTCCTTGCCATACGGTGCATGAGATCGAGAATCAATGACGAATACATCGATTTCATCGTTCAGAGCGACGAAGGCTGACCCAACTTCGCGGGTAATTTCAGCCAGGTCATTACTACCGCTGTGATTCTCCGATATCTTCTTTATCACAACAACACTATCGGCGCCGCAAGCCTCTGTGCGTTGTGAGCATTTGAAGTCTCCAAATGTAGAAGAAAATGTCAAGCTTACTAGAGAATTCAGCCCGTAAATCTTCAACAGAGGCTTTTTGGGGTCCTTCTATAAGGATATGTTGATTCGCGAGATAGAACGACATATTGAATCAGGCAGAGATCGATTCTTGTATCACAACAGTTCCATTGACAGTAGTCGGGCCTATTTATGCCAATCCAGAGAGAAGTCTCTCGATAAAAAGATGAAAATCAAAAAGGCAGTCGCCAGCGATATCAACGCTAATGCCGCTCTCGGACTAGCGGTAATATAATATGGGCCCCGTCACAGCGTGTATTTTGTAACTGATACGCAGCCATGAACATGTACGCGCATTGCATGCTATGATATGGCTGGCTGACTAGATATGGATTATTTCCCATGAAATTTACATTTCTGTACGCACTCTAGTTGGTATATCCCGGTTCCCACTTCTACATACTTCTAGTCGTTAGTGTCAAATTCGGGATGATAATCTGTTCGATAAAACTCGCCAGCGAGAAGGGCAACTGCCAGCGAGTGCTATCAGTTGAAAGACTGATATCTATAGTGACGAAACGCTATTATTGTCATCAGGCTGGCTCAGTAACTATCTCTAGAATGATGTGTAAGAACGTTTTTCCTTGACAGATAAGAGCACCCCCTAAATGGTGGTTGACTATATATATTGGGGGTATCGTGGCAGGCACAAACTGCCTATACCACCAGCAACAGCTACAATCTACCTAGGTATCAACATCGCCAAAGAGCTATTGTTACTCTGAATCTATCCTCAGCATGACTTTGAAGACAAAAGAGGGCGACCTGGAATCTTCCAGCCCCCATCAGAGGTCAAATGGCAGCGAGATCGAAGTGAGTGTCGCCAGTCACACCCCAGTGCTGGAGCAGAGCTTCGGCCTTATAAGTGCGTGTGCCACTGGTGTCACCACCGGAAACTCTTGGGCTGTTCTAGGCGGTGGCATTGTAAGTATTATGCTAGCCCATCAAACCCCTGAGCCGTACGCTGATATCGGATCGTGCAGGTTGCTTCTCTTTACAACGGCGGCTCTCCCGGAGTTATTTATGAGTTGTACGTGCTTTCTTCCTTGCACTTCGATCTCCTCTGCTACCACGGAAAATGATATGTTTCCACCGTTCGATTCATTAATATCTCGCGTAGTATTGTTGTGTCAATCTTCTACGGCTTCATCGGAGCATCCATCGCCGAACTGGCCTCGGCAGTCCCGTCTTCCGGAGGAGGTACGCATAAAATGACCGAGATGATATGATCTAAGTCTTTGAGAATTGACCTTGCTTGCAGTCTACCAATGGGCTACTATCACGGCCGGGCCCCGATATGGCAGAATCTGCGGCTGGTTTGCAGGGTGGTTGAATGGCCTAGCTTGGGCGTTCGCCGTCGCGAGTAACTGTGTCATGCTCTCCAACATGATCGTGTACGCTTACGGCCTCTACCACCCAGACTTCGTCCCAGAGCGTTGGCAGATCTACATCTGCTATCTTATCATTTCGTGGGGCTGCTGCTTCACAGTCATGTTTGCTCAACGTGCGCTTTCGTTCATTAGTCGGCTGGGATCTTTTTTGATCATGGCAGGCTTCCTTATTGCGGTGATTGTATGTGCCGTCATGCCCAGTCAAACGGGCTCCGGCTATGCCTCGAACGCCGTAATCTGGAAAGAGTGGAATAACTTGACGGGTTATTCCAGTACAGGATTCGTATTCATTTCAGGAATGTTGAACGGCGCCTTTGCGATAGGTGCCATCGACTGTGTTACGCACATTGCCGAAGAAATTCCAGAGTATGTCATACGTTACCGCGAGATCCGAAGATCGTTTTGGCTATTAACACCACTTGCATTAGCGCGCGTAGGAGTATCCCCAAAGCTTTGGCCTGCCAGGTGATAATGGGGCTCATCACGGGGTTTTGCTACCTTGTTGCTATCTTCTACGCAACCAATGACCTGTCTGCCATCATCAACGGAGACTCAATCTGCCCCTTGGGGGATATCTACTTACAGGCAACGGGATCTAAAGCAGGCTCCGTGGGCCTCCTGGTAGTGAGTATCTGCCCGATTTTATGCGCAACCGTAGGCTGCTATATCACGACTGGGAGGACATTCTACGCGCTTGGCCGGGGCGATGCGACCCCGTTCTCTCGTCACATTGGTGCAGTTAGCCGCACATGGGGCAGCCCATTTTACTCCACGTTGGCATGTGGCATCTTCATGACATGCATTGGGGCAATCTACGTCGGATCTCTTACTGCGTTCAACGCTTTCATTGGCTCGTACGCCGTGCTAACGACCATTTCCTATCTGCTGGCGATATTGCCCCATATGCTTTCGGGACGCAAGTATCTTCGCCCAGGGCCCTTCTCTTTGGGCCGGTACGGGGCTGCGGTCAACGCTGTTGCCTGCGCATATATTGTCGTTACCATAGTGGTTTTCTGCTTCCCGTATACCATGCCCGTGTCCGCCGAGTCAATGAACTACACCTGTGTGATAGTGACTGGCTTGAGTGCCTTGGTGGCCCTGTGGTGGTTTGTGCATGGCCGAAAGAACTATATTGGGCCGGGGGTGGATGTGGCCCACGAGTAATTCTGGATGCTTGGATCAGATGTCAGCCGTACTGGACAGGGGTGCCTGCGGGCAGATGCAAATGCGGAATTTGCACGCTACCCGCTGTAATTTAAAAATGTAAAATACTGCCAAAAGAGTGTTAAATTTTATGACAAACTCACGTGCAATCAAGAATCACATGACGTGGTGCGCTTATCTCCTTATCAGCGGTGCCTCGCTGGCTCCTTCCCCTTGCGGTTCCCATTTTCTCTGCTCGTCCATCAATTTGTTCCTGTCGATAAGTTGAACCACACCGCAAGCCAGTCTTAGAGGGGCCGTTGTCCGCCGCTCAGGAGAATTGCCATTATCGTGACGGTAATTCTGATCGATTGATCACTGATTTCAAGCATGAGCAGTCTTCCGAGTCCCCGCTCTTCCATTCCACGCGAACGGCTGTCCAACAAGCTGAAGTCCGTCACATTCACCGGGTAGGCATTCCCCGGGATTCTACCTCGAAAGTATAGCTCGACTGACAAAGCGATGTCCCATATAGCTGCTGGACGTGTAGGTCGCGCAAGGTCAAATGTGACGAGCGCCAGGCAGATGGCTGTCGGGTCTGTGAGCACGCCGGGCTAGCGTGTGCCGGCTACGCGGTCACTTTGTGCTGGGTCACGGACGAGAAGCAAAAGCCCGCTGGTGAGCGGTCTCGGCGTAGGAAGATCCACCCAGGTGCGTGTTACGATGTATTGCTATACTATCAATTTTGCCAATGGAAGATTAACCTACCCCGTTAGATCAGCCCAATCTGGCCAGCCTATCGGATGACGATATTTCTCGCATCTTATCCAGGCTTGATGCGGTTTCAAATCCATCTGAGCCTAGTACTGTCACTATGGGCCCGTTTTCCATGTTTAGCGCCAAGCTCAGTCCCGCTCCTCTCAGCCACCCAGATACCCTAACAGATAGCGGGAAGCCGGATGACCATCTCGCTCAGAACATAGAACCAACTGGTCTGCGAGAAGATCGCTATTCTGAAATTGCACCAAGTGAGGACGTCACTGCATTTCTGGATAACGAATTGCCTTTCCCCCCCCGAGAACGGGCCATGTTAAACAATCATCGCACTACAGATCGGCCTCAAGCTGCCTTGAGCCCAATTAGCCAATCACCATCCTTGCTGGATCGTGAGGTCCATCCTCATTGGAGTGTAGTACACGAAAGACAAGAAACAGAAGAACGAGAAGAGGAGGAAGAAGACGCAAATCTACAAGTTTCTGTTCCACAACCCCGCGCCAAACGACGGCGCCTACTTTTTCCACACAACCGCGAACTTTCGATGCCCCTGTTTCAGGACCATTACACGTCTATCCTCTTGCATCACTACATGAACCATGTGGCTGACTTGCTTCAGCCAGTTTTACACCCACGCAACCCGTGGAAAACAATCTACTTCCCCTCTGCGCTCCAAGGATGCCCAGATCTCTTTCTTGCGCAAACTTCTACATCCGCTTCTTGCGCTTCGATTTCCCTATTCCACAGTCTACTCTCATCAGCTGCTTTTCACCTTCACAACGCTACCAACACCTCCTCTAATGCCTCTCCTATTTTCCATACACTTGGTATTCGACATCGAATCAAAGCCCTTCAGGCTCTAAACTCTATCCCCATTCAGGTTACCAATCCACAGCTATATACTGTATATCTAACAGCAATGCTTGCTTTAGTTACAATTGACGTATGTAGTCTTGTCCCACCTTGATTCTCGTTGTCTATTGCTCACTGGACTCCTAGACTATGGTCGAAGAAGATGCGTCCGACTTCCCAGTCCATTTGAACGGCTGTAAACAGTTGCGTCAGTTGCCTCATTCTATCACCATGCCTAGTGATGCAAATAACCAGGTGCAGAGTATCTGCAATGTTCTCACCCTTCTTGCTCGGACTACATCGCATGATGTCGAGCCGCTCCCGTGGAAATCGAGGGAAACCCTATTGTCGAGTCCGCTACGTTTTCTTAGCAACGATAGAAGTGTCGAGTATATTTACGGCGTCACCCCAATTTTAGGCATCCTTCTATGGAAGACGTGCGATATCGCCCAGCACCTCGCCTTCTATAAAGGGCGACCGACACCCCCCGACCTTGTTCATGAGTGTGAAATCCTGCGAGATGAGCTTTTGACATGGCACATCGATTCAGAGTCGTTTTATCTCATAACATCGGATCAGCAGACAAATCTGGAGATCGTACACTGTCAAGCGCGCGCCTTCCATGCGGCCGTCTTGATCTTTTACCATCGCACAATACCCAGCCACAACAACTCTATCAACATACAAAGTAGAGTCCGCTCGATCTGGGTCAACCTCACCCAGGCCGAGAATCTAAAGGAAGATTACATTGGTGCAAATAAACGGACTGCACCAATGTCGTGGCCGGCTTTCATTGCCTCCTGCGAAGCAACGGACCGAGAGCCATGGATCGAATGGTGGACCCGAATACAGGGATATGGGATCGGGAACTTCAGAAGGCAATGGCAAATTATTCAGCAGATCTGGGCTATCATGGATGCAAACGAGGATATGACGGACTGGCGAGATGCACTCCGGCAGACGGGGAAATTGATATTACCAATATGATGATTGTTAATTATTGGATATTATAGTTCCATTTATGAATTTCTATAATGATTATTTAATGCCCAACTCATCATTGACGTTTGAACTCAATCCGGCATTCATGTTCCTGTAAGCCTTGTAAGTGAAATGTAGACAGAATTGAAATCAGTTCATTGGATCAGACTTACCCGTACACCACTACAACCTTCGTCGTAAAACACCTCATATCGACTTGTGATGCCCGGCGATAAAGTGTCAAACCCAGCAACAGCTGTCGTCGTATACTTGCGGTATATCGCAGCTACCAGTGTAGTCATCTCGGCCATGGCAAGACTATGAGATGGTAAAGTAAGCATATTACATACTATTGAGAGGATGAAAGTTAGGGGGGAGAAGGGGGAAAGTAGAAATCCTTACTGTATCCCGATGCACATTCTCCCTCCACTCGAAAACGCCCAGAAACATTTTTTCATCTGGGCCAGGTTCTGGGACGAGTTGAGCCAGCGTTCGGGGTTGAATTTGAACGGGTCCGGAAACACATCTGGGTTGCGATGGAGGGTATATGGCGAAATGGAGACTACGGTGCGAGCTGGGATGGCATAGCCATCAATTGTCGACGATTGCGAGAGTGAGCGTGGCTCGGATCCTGGTAAGGGGGCGAATAGGCGAAGTGTTTCCTTGATGACCGCGTCTACATATGGCAGATTGTCGGTTTTGTCTACCATGGGGACACCATCAGAATTGATGCTCTCAGTAGACATATCGCGGACTTCTTGTATAAGCCTCTTTTGGAAGTCACGATGCTCCCGTCGAGATAGGGACCAGATCAGAAACATCAGGGTGTCGCTTGTAGTATCGATGCCGGCGAGTAGATGGTCGGCACATTCCGATGCAATGTCCAGGTCGTCAATGCCGCCGTTTTTCTGGGTCATATGGTGTCGCCATAGCTTTGAGATCAGGCTTGTCTCTTCGCTGGTCGTGCCTTTGGCAGCGCAGCTGCCAAATGTTTTACAAGCCTTGAGCGCATGAGCCCGGATACCGGAGTAGGTAGTCGGCGTCTGCATAGGATAGAAGTGTCGAGCAATTTCACGCATGATCCCCGTCCTCGAGTAGAGCCATTGCGTAAAAGCAGGCAGATGGACGGCAAACCAGGCCAGTTTGCGGCGAGCATGATCGGAGATGTCTTGAATCAGGGCACGATCCTCTGCCCGACCCTCGAGACACGCGGTCTTGCCAAACCGGCCGTAGAGAAACTCGGTGATGGTGTCCAGGGAGAAGTAATGCAAGGAGGAGAAGATCTCGCTAGTCGATCCTTCTTCTTTCTCTTCTTCTCGTCCCAACAGTTCCATGTACAACCTGACTTTTCTCTCGATCAGGGACGCATTTTCCTTGTTCATGACGGCAGACTTGGCGTAGGCATGAGCGAACATCTTCTTTCGCTCGCCATGAGCCTTGACCGTCGGGAATGAAAACATGTTCTTTCGCCCATAGACTTCAAACATGTGGTAAAAGCTGGTCCTCTCAAAGCCACTTCCTGCGCCATAGACGGACTTCAGAGCGGAAATGCTGTTGCAGGAGACCTCGTTAGGCCCGATTCGCACAACCGGGCCGTATTTTTGATGCAATGCATGGATGGTGCGTGTCCGCGTACCATTGTAGTCTTCGTATGCGAGCCTCCAGCTAGTTAGGGCAAAAGCCTTTGGTCCTGGTATTTTTGCCAGAGGGCTGATGAAAAGCGAGTGACATAGCTTATAGAAAATGACAGACGCCAGCAAACCGGCGATGATATAGTATGATGCGAGCATTGTACTGGGATACCACTCGTCCGTGAGTTGACGAAGAGCACAGCAGGAGAAGGGCGACCAAATATTTATCTTTCTCTCTGATGCCAGCGAGACATGTAATTACTAATTTCTGGGGCGTAAAGAAATTAGTAGTGACAGCGCAGAAGAACCCGGCATCTAGCAGGTGCGAGCGAGGGTGGCATTGGAATTGAGGATGCTGATACAATGTGGAATGAGTCTATCATGGCAACATCGCATGTTGTATCAGTGACAAGAACATCAGTAATATCGAATGCGGCAACTCCCTGCGAACCAGCATTTTCAGTGGGTCACGATCGATAAGGCCGTTAATAATTATTATTGGTGGTTCGCTGGCTGATAGATATTTTCCCGGCCCATACTTTAGTTTCTAGACCGACTTCTATCAGTGCAATGGCATTATTATATCGGCGTAAGATCGATATGATTGCATAAAGCTTTCGACGAGAAGTTATCTGAGCAAAAATCTAGGCGGGCTTGTCATCGGTGAGTATCAAGTTGGACATTTTCATCTAGCATGTCTTCTTAAGGGGTTTGAGTCATAGAAGTTGTAACTAAGCAGCTGCGGATTTCATATTCACTATCTCATTTGCAAACAACTTTACACATTTCATAGCTCATCCTTAATGTCGGGGCGGGAAATAGAAGGTTCAGTAGTGGACTTGGTCATGCCAGCCAGAATATCAACGAGCAAGTCGGCCGCAGCAACCGAAGTCGTCTCAGCAACGCTGTCATATGGCGGACTGACCTCGACAACATCGGCGCCAACCAGGTTGATACCTTCGAGTCCTTTGAGGAATGCCTTGAGCTCTCGGGTGGTCCATCCTCCAGATTCTGGAGTGCCGGTCGCAGGGGCAATACTCGGGTCAAGGACTACTCACTTGGTTAAACGGTACAAATTTATAGGAATCTGGAAATATGGCTGTACACACCATCAATGTCAATAGAAAGATACGTTGGAGTATCACCAACCGCCTTTCGTACTTTTTCAACAATACCATGCACACCAATCTCATCGATCTCGTGAGCTTCAATCAATGTAAAGCCGACGACATCCCGATCAATTTCATAGTCGCGGGGGCTCTGTGAATAGCACGTTAGAAATGATATCCTGCCATGAAAGGTGGTGTTTTAGTGAAACATACAAATAACTTTGTGCGTAGACCACCATGAACACTGGTGCCCTTGCTTATGCACCCTTCTCGACTGGCATGCCAGAAGAATGTTCCATGGGTAATGGCGGATTGGTTTGAGGCAATTCCGGTGTATCCCTCATAAGGGTCCCAGCTTATCGTCGGTTAGTTGGTTCGAGAAATAGGAGATGGATATTACGATATTGGAAGGATTAGTGGAACCTACGTATCAAGATGAGAATCGAGATGGATAACGGAAATCGGACCGTAGACGGTCTTCAAGGAGCGCAAAATCGGCAAGACAATGGAGTGGTCGCCTCCGAGGCTGAGAATTCGGGGATGTTTCCAGGCATCTTATCCCAGAAATCAGCATTCAACATGTCGCCTGAATGCAAAAGAAAAGGAGAAACGTACTCTGTTCGGAAGTCTGGTGATACAGGATCTGTCGATACGCCTGCTCCATCTGCTTGAAAGCATGGGCAGCGTCAAAGGGCGTGATGGGCACATCGCCACAATCAATCTACCGGAAGACATGTTAACGTTGTACTTCAGCACAGACGAATGTGGAATTCCGTACAATCTGTAATCCCTGCTCGTATGGGTCAACCCCCCAAACTGTGTTATAGCTGCGCCCTTTCTTTTCGCGTGAAGATCCAGCGCGGATTCCGCGCGGGCCAAATCTGGCTCCAGGACGGTACGAGGTGGACGTATCGTATGGAAAGCCAAGAATGGCGATATCCAGGGGCTTTATGCCCAGTCAGCAAATTCTGATACAAGTCCCTTGGATTTTAGAATACAAGGGAATGGAAGTAAGTGTTTACCTCTTCATGCGACGCGGCCAAACATCGCTGCCATTCTAGATGGGCAAACGTGACAGGCTGAGAAAAGGGCAAATCCTTATCGAGATCTGATTTATACTGCAAGTAAGTATATGTTTGTGTCATATTCTTTGCGTTCTTTAGTGTTACACGCTCACCTTCAACTATGTATGGGTAATCGGGGCCTAAATCAAGGCTGGCACTAGCCAGGGTCAAAGCACACGCGGCCCAGTAAAGAGACTTGCGCATTCTGTCTTTATTATCAATTGACTCGGTTGCGACAGAGTAATAAGGACAAACGTTCCTCTTGACGAGAAATACCTTGGTCGCTCTAGTGGGCGGTTCGAACCGTATTATATACCATCATGCTTGATGTCGCGGATAAGGTTGAGGCAAGAGACTGCGAGCCTATCTATCAGCAGCCCCACCCAGCAGCACTCAGGACCCAGATCGTGTTAACGACCACTTGGATTGCTGTATGTATTTGTATTGTACTGTAAATTGCGAGATTATCAGCTTTTATTTGTCATGGAAAGCGGACGAACTAACGTTCTATGAATCTAGGCGGAGCGGCGGCATATTGAGAGGCATCACCATTGTAATAAAAGTCATATATTACCTAGATATACGGAAGCTTCAATGCTTGCACCTTCCATATCTAACCTTGGAAGCCATCAGAGGACGAAGAGGTCATGAAGAAGTAACCCGGTTAGATGTCGTCAAGGGTCCTGTTGGTTTGCTACCTTTTATCCCATTTTATACTCTATTAATGAAATTCATTAATATATACGAATCACTACGTGTACAGCGATGAATTCAGGACCAATTCAATTAGCATATTGTACTAAGTAAACCAAGTAATAATGAAAATATGAAAGAGAAAAAGTAGAGAAATGGAGTATGGCACAAATCGCCGCCGACTAGGGCTGACACAACCCTCGACATCAACCAGCAAATAAGTCATACATGACGCAACGCCAGGAAAAGAGAAATGGCATTAAATAGAACCGCCATAGTCCGCACGATCATTTTTATATTTTCCCTCCGCTCCTTCTCGTAATCTTTAACCAGGCCGTAATACTCATCCATGCACTGTTTAACTCCTTCGAATTCTTTCAATAGATCCGTAGCCACGTCGTTCTTGTCTGACTTCTTCGCTGCAGATTGATTTTCTATGTCATTTGATAATTTTTCAACGAACCTGGCGTTGCAATTGTTGATTTGAATGGCCAGTGTGGCTGCAAGGCGAGAAATTCTCTTCGGACCATCTTCGATCATTTTCTCGAGTCTTTCGTTTGTGAAATCAGAAGCAAGTCGGGAATGTCGTTTCTTTTCCATGTCTTTCTGCAGACCTTTGAGTTCAGCATCTAGCTCATTGAATTGATTTACCATGTTCTTTGCACGGTTCCATGGCACTGCAAAGTTCCTTGACGTTATCGAGCTAGACGAGGAACCATTCCTGGGGAAAGTCTTGAGAACCCTGAGAAGTCTCAGCCATGGTTCCACAGAATGCTCTGGAATAGGAGTTCGGAGTTGGAAAAATAGTTAGTTGATGCAAAAGCGTATGCTGACTCAAAGGATGGGTTTCATACGTAAGTATGAAGATCTTCGACGATAGTGAAAAAGAGGGATTGATGTTTTACCAAGTTCTACAGTCCAAAGACAGCTTTGATATAGAAGAAATCCAGCGTTGAGTCAAAGATGACTTCACGTATATGACTCTCTATAACCTGAGTCAGCTGCTGACTATGTCTCTACGGAGTCCTTCATTTCATCCCATATATCCCCTGTGGATTCCTTGATTGGTTATATGTGAATTGTGTATATTCTACAATATGACTCTCAATTATGAATCATGAAAGGGGCTTGCAAGTCACATTCTAAGACGCATCTAACATACGTTACAGAGAATTTGTCACGAGGTTATAGTCATAACCATCATCAGTCACAATTCAACTTGATTTCAACTTGGGATGAATGTTTGAGCCTGGCCCGTGGTTCCTTTCCTAGCTAGATTATGATCCTGGAAATTGGCAAACTCTTGGCTTCTATATATTGACAATTCGACCGGACATTAAGTATAAAAGCTAAATTGAATTGAACGTCTGTTATATCAAAGCAAACAAAGATAGATCATCGTTATCCTAATCAAGTTCAAGGAGATGGTTAGCACGTTCTTGGAACTTCAGTGGAATCCTAGGGGATCAAGTTAAAAGTTGTTAGTATACCGACGTAGAATTGCCGTATTACCGAGTACTAGGATCAAGAACTAGTATTCAATTTGATACTTGTTAGGACTTTATTCAGATGACGAAGATTTTTTTATATGTGATTCTAACGCATCAGACAGTGACAAATTCGCTACTTGATGAATAAAATCAACTGCAAGCGAATAGCTCACACCTCGAGGCTAATATTCGTATCTTCTAAAATATCATTGGAAGATCCTTCTTGACTTTCGACCCGGAAGGCTCATGTGCAAAATATACCTTACGGATGCACACAATTTACTAGGACAGTGGACTAAGTACATTTAGGAAACACTTCGGGCCTAGATTGTGGCTTAATCCAGAGGAGTGATGCTTCGTATAAATAGAGCTACGTCTTTCTATATGAATGGCATCCAGCATGTCCTGGCCCCAGAGCATCCGATCACGTATTTCGCGTACTGGTAATAACCTCACGAGTGAGGCACGGATCCATTAATTTTGGCTCGGCTGCCGACTCAATACCGAATGATCTGACTATTATGTCCACTTAGGTTTGATATTTGATGATGTACCGGGCTTGAAGTTTCCCGAAGTTTCGTTTTCAGAGTGACCACATCATCGTGAAGAATATGCCGAAACCACGAGACAGGGAACATGGGTGGGAATATCTATTGTCTATAAAAGTAGTATCACTGGCTTCGTATGACCTAGCCACGCCGCTTGATCTAAATAGTACATGTTCTAGTATCCGATTTCTGTGGCAAAGATTGCAGAAACAAAACCAAATAAACCAGGGCCAACTGAATGAGAAGCTCTAGCACAAGATCCGAGGTTACGCACAGTATATCTCCTACAGGATAAACTCCATTCACAGGCATCTTTTCGAGCTCGTCCTTACATCGGGACAATCCACAGAAAAGCACCAGCTAGAAAATTCTCCAACCCCAGAGTGAAATACAACCATGGCAACTTCGGATCGACTGTCAGCGGCGAAACCGTCATGGCTATCAAGGCACCCGCCGATCCGGCAGACAAGTACACAGCCATGATTATCGACTTCATTGACGCAGGAGCCTGCGCGTAGGCATACTCGATACCTGACACAGAGGCTAATATCTCCGAGACAGCAATCAGCACGTAAGCAGGCGACTGGAGGAAAATAGAAACCTGATTAGGAACATTTCCGCCCAAGCATTCCGGCGCCCTTGGGTGGTCATAACAAGGAGGGGCAGCGTAAATGGCGCGTTGAACAAAGGCGGCATAGAGCATTGAAGCGCCGCATACCAGGAACCCCATGGTGATTCTATCGACGTGGCGAACGGGGATTCCCAACCTGCGCAGGAAAGGAAATACAACGCGATCCAGAATGGGAAGGATGATCAAGACTGTCATAGTGTCTATGTTCGGCATGATATCATTAGGGATTCCGTGTGTCTCCATGGTTGCGGCTTGGGAGATAAAATTAGTTAGAAATTGTAAATAGGCTGCCCAGTAGATAGGATATAGGATGAAAATCTTGCATGAAGCAATAGCGCCTCGCAAATCGTCGACGAAGGAATCGTCCCATGGAAGCCTTCTGGTAGCTGATTCTTCTGTCCGGTAGCTTGGTCTTGCATAGTCGAGGTTACCTTTGTGCCTGATACCAATCCATAATGCCTTGCAGGCGTTGAAGACTATGGAGCTATCAGGTTCCCGGGTAATATAATTGTCTTTGCTAGAAAGCATGATCACAAACCCAACAAGAAAGACTATGGCTGGTAGAGAGAATGCTGCAGAAAAGCCGTATACTTTCTCGATTACTGATATGATTAGGGGTGAAAAAGACCCTACGTTAATGAATATGAAAAACGTTGTGAATATACTTGATGTCATGTTAGCGATGACTGAGAACTGAGCATCCAAGGCCAGGATAGGTACCTCTGAATCGTTAGATCTCTATCGACGATGACTTCTTCCCCGGATTTTAAGCTGCGTTTGAATTCCTTGGGACCAGTGTATTGCTCTGCGATCAACGAGTTGACATTGGTCTTGATACCACCCGTGCCGATGCCAATCAAGAATAAAGACGCTAGCAACCCAGCAAATGACATTCCCACGTTCTGTGCAGCGGACAGTGAGGAGAGAAATAGAGTGACCAATCCACAGAGGTACACGGACGAGGAATAAATGATAGTTTTCAATCTACCAACATACTGCTCTGCAACGACAGCGCCGACTATTGGAGTAATATAACACCACAGCACAAACCCCTGGTTGATCATGGTCGCAGAAGCCTGCCCAAGTCCTACTTCACGTTAGACTAGAAAATTTCTTCATTGCGGATATGCAGGATCCTACCGATTCCGCCCGGGCGCAATGGATCATTCCGGGGATTTTGAATATAGTTCTGCATGGGTCCAAGGATGCCGAAATAGGCAAACCTTTCGCACATCTCAATCGTCGCAATGAGCCAGACTGAGGGTGGAAGTGAATCTGCGATTCGTCTTAACCCGCCGTCAGGCTGGGGGGATCCTTCATCATCCGCCGCTCCATTGGACCTGGCGGAGAGAAGTGGACTGCGTTCAGAGGGCTCCCCGTTTGACATGATGAATCGAGGTGAGCGCGATCACTTGGCTGGAGTGTATATCGGAGCGTGCATTTCAAGAATGGTTGAAGTGACAATTGAACACGAGTCAAGTACTTAATTAAGTGTACCTAGTTAGGTACTTTAGCGCTCTTAGCCAGCCGGCGCCAAGGCAGAAACATTTTGTTAGTAAAACAACAGCTCGCTGGGAATATGTAAACTAGAAACAAAGTGTGCGATTTATTCCCCTTTTGTCACTTTTTCGTTCTTTCTTTCTTTCTTTTCTTTTCTTTTCTTTTCTTTTCTTTTTTTTTTTTTTTTTTTTTCCCCAGCTGGGAAAGCTTTAATAGTTGCTCTTCAAAGAGATAAAAACCTGTCTTGATCCGTTATCATCGCATGTATATTTTACTCGAACATCCGGCCTCGAACTACCCGGATCTCTGAATTGATCAAGCCCGCATAGAAAGCTATATCTTGTTCCGATGATGGATGAGGTTACAAATTGAGGGAGGCGTCATATCGATTTGTGTCAAAGAAACGGAACACAAGGTGATTGTTGAGGTACCTGGGTAGCTGTTTCATAGCGAGAGTAATTTGTTCACGATATACACTTAATTTCAAGGTTGTGATTTTCGTGTGCAGGTTCATCTCATTCTAGCAGCACTGATCTAGGGCTCATCCCAGCCAAAGTGGTATAACACTGAGAAACGCCGAACTCGTCGTTTTCGCGCTTGCTCTAGGCCGAACTTTGCCGTAAATCACTTCAAAATGCTGTTTTCTGGTCATTGTCATGCGACATTTGGATCAATCGCCATAGCTGAGCTTGGGAACACCTGACTGGATACTATGAAAGGAAATCCATAATAAAAGCTTTCTTCAAGACCGTCTCCATTGAGCCCTCCAGTGGGAAATGGCATCGGTAGCGCTGAGCCATTGTCAGCTGGGAGCAAGTGACATTTTAGACGGCTGACTCACCTGAATTTAGGGTGAAATCATTGCTTATAGCTAGACACTCTGTGCTCATATTAGAATCACCCGATTGCTTAGCCAGCACAATGCTAAGAGCGTCTGGTGCTGTCTTTGCTTCTACCGATGTATTCCTTGATCTTATCCAGATACCATGCGCCCTTGTAAGTGCTGCCATGATTCGATCCAAGTGATGGTCATCAACATCTGGGCTGCTACGTCTCTGTCGCGCGATAAAGCACAACAGCATCGTGGCTGTCAGGAACTCATGCTTCATGAAGGAGGAAGCCCGCCATCGCATCATATATAGCTGGCCATCTGGGCTGGTTTGCTCGTCTAATATTCGTTCAATCTCCAGGATCCCCAAAGCTGCTTCTATGCAAGAGCTACGCGAGTAGGAGGAGCATGTCTGGCCATTGGCAGATACGGTTGACTCCATGCTAAGATACCTGCAGTGTAGCATGACCTGACCCTTGTGGAACATCAGTCTGAGGAACAGTCGATGCATAATCACTTGCGGGGGATCGATTACCGCTGTAGCCATGGCCTTCATGCGGAGGTAGTTAGGGACCGTGGCCTCGGCATCATGCAGCATCTGATTTAGTCGCATTACCTCGTCGTAGACCACTGGCCGCACCGAGGCAGGCAAATCAACAATCGCACCCAAGGCGACAAATATACGCCGCCGAGCAATTAGGTGCGAAACTGTGGTGATCTCTGTCTCGGGCCTGGATGGGGGAATCACGGAGCTACCCTCATCGAAATCCGAGTCATTCAGATTTCGGGGCTCTACGGTGTCACATTGCCAATCTTTGATATGCGTGGCATGCCCATCTGAGTGGAAATCAAAATATCTCCCTGCAGGATCGTGGCCCAGATCCGGCGTCGCATTTCCCCTGCAAACAAAGAGATCCCTGGAAAGTGCGACGGATCCCGACGGTAACCCATACGCAGAGCTATGTTGACCAAGATCCCCGATAGGATCCAGATGTCCCGGTCGGCATCTTTCCGGATGGAATACTCTATAGTCAAGTAGTGAAATAGGGTTTCAAATATATAACGCCCGGGTTTGGTGAACTCGCCCAGAATGAGGCACTGGACTATCTTTTCGCGGTACGGATCCACCAACGGGTTGCGAACTCCCGGAGATGAGCTGGACTCTGCTGCAGTTGAAGCAAGCACTGCGAGACATATCATAGAGAAGAGGAGACCCAGCCACATGACTGACGTCTGGGATGGATTCTCCCAGAAACGTTCATACTGTATCCATGTTAGAATCGCAATATCCTCATATCATTTGACAGGGTCGTTCGCGTACTTCGTCTAAAGACTGACCACTGTGAAGACAGGCTGAAGAGTACGAGCCCTGTATTAGTCGGTGTTTACATCTTGTAGGTCGGGGACTTACATAGCGCTAGGTCCAATCGATTGAAGTACTGCGAAATGTAGCGATCGACAGTGGTTCTGTCAGGCAGAGTTGCCAAGATCTCTTCTTTATTCGCTGACTTACATCCATACAGCAGGAGGGTATGTGGTATAGGAGGGGTTTTGAGGTTCTCAACGTCCTCCCGTTCAAGCCGCCGCTCCTTGATGTCGGCGATCCCATCCAGGATAGCGACCCAATGAGTTCCTCCAACGTAGGCATTCGAAGAGCTAAACCATACACTTCCGCCGTCGGATTGAGCTGGAGAGTGTTGGGAGTTGATTGCCTCATTTGGTGAGCCTTCTTGCAGGTGACCTTGGGTACCAGACATCACAGGGTTGCTGGTGCGGCTGTTGGCCATTAATCCACGATCGGTGCATGTCGAACAGGGCTGTTTGCGATCGCACCGGAGTCTATCCGAGAATGTTGTCATATCCATTGAGTCAGCCGGACATGTTTGGTACTCACTTTCTCCGACGACAAGTGTGGCAGGAGAGCTGCGGTTCGCTCCGACGGTTGATTAGAAGCCGGTTGGAGGCTGGGTTCGTCCGCCATTGCCGTCGGATATATGCAAGTGCTCGTTTTTTTTAACTACACTACCGTGTAATGCTATGCGATATGCCGGGCCAGATGACGAGTATCGTGCACTACACGAGGTTTCTCTCATGGACATGTAGGGTGAGATGGTCGAGGTATGTTTTCGACGTAGAATAGGGTTTTATTTGCCACATGAACGATAGAAAGAGAGACTGGGGGGCGCTGGGCATGTATTAGTGAAGAGGTAGTCGTGTTGTCTGGTGGTGGTTGAAGATATCTAACACTCCCTGACCCGATCCGGCAAGTCCCAACTCTTCGACTCAACCGGAGGAGAATGTTCCTCCGCGCATTCCTCCGTTTTGTTAGACTCCTCGATTTTTTCTAATCGTCGTCTAATATACCAGATTCTCATCTCCGTCTATTCATCCTCTCCGTTCCCTCGCTAGACACGTAGCCATGATTTCTTTGGACCCTGACCATGGCTTCAGGCCAGTCCGCTCGGTCTTCAGAATACCGAAGGAAACGGCGTGCAATCACCCTTCGTGAAAGACAATATCTAAAGTTACATAAAATAAAAACTTGCCTCTACGCCTAACACTTTTTCTCCATGACCATTCCCCCAAGTGACCCAGGACATCAATCCTCGAAACTCCATCCACGTTGCAAACATACAAACCTCATCCTTGCACTCTTATCTAGCAATCGAGACTATCCTGCAGAATGAAGCTCTCCAGCAATATCGAGACCGGGAACACTCGGGCTGACAGTGAAGTCAACCTAAAGACAGATGAAGAGTCGGCAAAGCTGCCGTCACGTAGACCGCTGAACGATGTGGTCGACTGGGACGGCCCAGATGACCCTAAGAACCCTCTCAACTGGCCTGGCCGCAAGAGTTTTGGTCATGTCCTGACCGTAGCCGTCTTATCGATGGTCGCATAAGTAAGCCCTAAAGAGACACAAAGCTGCGACCATGCTAACGAGGGTACTAGTAACATTGCGTCTACCATGGTCGCTCCGGCCATGGAGGGCGTCACCAAGGATCTGAAGATCACTAACACGACCGTGGGAACCTTGGCCGTTAGTATCTATCTACTAGGGCTTGCATTTCGACCGCTCATCATCTCCTCGCTCTCCGATATGTACGGGCGTCTCATCATTTACCACACATGCAATTTCATATTCGTTATTTTCATTATCGCCGGCGCCCTGAGTCAGATTACCGCTCAATTTATTGTCTTCTGGTTCATAACTGGCTGTGCAGGAGCGACGTCACTCTCACTTGGTGGTAAAACGATTGCGGATGCCATCCCGATCGAGAAGCGTGGTGCAGCGGAGGCTTTCTTTGGTCTGGGCCCCCTTCTGGGACCGGTATGTAAGGCCAACCCTCTAAACGAACTATCATTGACCGATCTAGGCTCTGGGACCGGTGATTGGGGGCTTCGTTGCCGAAGGAAAGGGCTGGCGATGGACCTTTTGGGTGGTCGCGATCGCCGTAAGTAACCCTCTTCTCAGCTGTTATCCGTTTCTCTAACTCTGTCACAGGGAGGAGCAGCGTCTATCGGGACGCTCGTCTTTATGAGCGAAACACGCCCCAACACCTTGATAGAAAGAAAGGCCTCATACTTACGACACACAACCGGGAATCCCCGCCTCCGGTCGAGACTCATTCGCCCAACCAAGCTCTTCATATTCTCGCCAATTGTGCTCGTCATATCGGTCTATGTGGCTCTTATATTCGGCCTTCTATATCTTCTGTTTGCTACGTTTAGCATGGTCTTCGAATGCCAGTACGGATTCAGGACGGGCGTTTCCGGTCTGGCATACCTAGGCCTAGGCGTGGGTGAGTTGTTGGGGCTATTCATATTCGGCATCCTTAGCGACCGGCTTATGAAGGCGAAAATGGCAGCGGACAGAGTCAAGGTACCTAAGCCTGAGTACCGCCTGGTCTTGATGATGTGGTTCCCGCCAGTCATCGGACCTGGTTTGTTTATGTACGGTTGGTCGGCTTATTACAAAGTGCAATGGATAGTTCCGATCCTTGGTACATTCATCGTTGGATTTGGGTCCTTCTTCGTCATCATGCCATCCCAGCTGTATCTGGTGGACCTGTTCGGATCAGAAGCGGCAGCATCTGCGCTAGGGGCCAGCATTCTCCTGCGATCGCTGTTCGGAACCTTCTTGCCGCTTGCTGAGTCGCATATATATTCTGTCCTCAACTACGGATGGGGCAATACGCTGCTAGGCTTCCTGGCGCTTGCATTTGCACCCGTGCCTATTCTGCTATATCGGTATGGTGAAGGGCTCCGAAGTCGGACGACTGTGCAGCTGTGAACGTGCGGCAAGATGTCTATGCAGCCACTTCTTGAGACCAGAGTTGAGATATGCTTGCTTAGAACTGGCCTGGCTTAGTTCTAAGTTGTATATATATAAGTCTCGACTACATAAAATCTATTAGCTAATAACACGATTGTTTATTTTGTCCTCGTCTCACGATAGCGATATACTTCATGATTAGTCCGAGCTTTACCGAACGGAAAGTGGGTCTAGATCTACTTAAAAATTAGTAGATCGGCCCGCAATGCCGCATTATTCCCCACCTTGCACGTGGCATCAGCCGGCATCACAACGATCTAGTAAAGTTGTAGTTAAGTGCTAAGATGATTATAATATCCAAGAGCTTGGAATGGGTATATCTTTTCTTAGACAGTCACTTTTATAACTTTGGGCTAAAAAAGATGTCTCACTCAAATTTATCTACGAATGTCTTGAAATGTGTAAATATATAACTATATACCAGACTACTGGCGATTATTCAAAGGGCAACTCGTTGCCACTGTTACTATATATCGATTTATCAACCTTGGATGACTTGACATATAAGTATAATAATAACAAAAGTATAAAAAAGCTTGTGTATCAAAGTACTAAGCAAAAGCTCGATTGTGAAACTGAATATACATATCTTTGTTCAAGATTGACGAGACTCCCAAGTTTCGGAACTTGGATCGATGGCATAGAATAAATGAGTCCTGATTATGTTAATTGACCAACATTTAAAATTTCGCTGTTTGCCCGATATCAATTTCCTCCCTGTCTATAAATATCGTACACCGCCATTTGCTAAACAATCTGGATAATAAAAAATCTGCCGTCGACATTCGATTAAGGAATTAATTAGCCTGATCATGGAACCGAATCCGAATATTGAGCAATGCTCTTATCAAGACGCTTCTTGTGAGCAATCCGATCGAATATCGTAGAGAGTTCCTTTCGTGACTCAAATAAGGGCCACTAGAGAGTAGTTTTAAACATGGATTAGAGTCCAAGGCTTCTAAGACTTAAATTGAGGAAGGGAATAACTCACAAATACAATCAAGACTAGACTAAACAACGCAAACGTCGCTGCTGCCACACATTGCAGAATGAAGAGGCCCCTTGGGTACACCACAGCGGTCCCAGCAAGAGGAGCGGGGATGAGGACAACTGGAAAAAGATTGATAAGCCATAGATATCTAAAAAAGCGGTGTTATATTCACGTACGGATAATGAGAAGTAAGGTGCCAGTAATGATGCGGAATTTGGTTTGTGACTTCTCGAGTTTGGCTACCTCCTCGGCATAAAGAGCCTCAGAGTCAGGAGTTGAACCTCCGCCATTCACCAAATTCAGAGCAGGCTCGTACGTGCCTTGGCCTTTCCTAGACCCATCAATAGAACTTTGGTTGATATGCAGCTTTTTGTCCGCCGATGTGGACGCTGCATCGAGGGGCACTGTAGAGCCTCGACCGATGGCTCGCGTAAGCTCAAAGTCGAAGGAGGCAGGCTTGATGAGCGATAAGCCTACGGATATGATAGCGCCAATTCCTAGGGCTGACAAAGAGCCCGCAAGAATTACCTTGCTATCGGTCAGTGTGGTGGTAGATATCGTGCCTTGAGTGGTAACAGCTGTCACTAGCCACGCCACCATGCCTATGACCAAACCCCCGATTACGCCCAATACTGCGCCGGCCTTATTGAGTCGAGTCCAGCACATTAGAAGGCCAATTGGGAATACGCTACCAGAGGTACAGACAGCCATGAGGTAGAAGAGGAAGTTGAGATTGAGACCAATGTAGGCGAATGCAGTGTTGATGCAAGCGAGGAAGATGGCCCAACCGATGACCGTCGCATGGTTGATTCTCATCAATTGGGAATTTGTTGCGGTCGGATTCACGTATTCCCGATAAATATCATAGGAGAAAATGGTCGCGACAGCCACTAGCTGCGCAGACAACGCCGAAGTAGTTGCCATGAATGCAATAATAGTGTACATTGCTGGCCCGGCTTTGCCTAGGACCACTATACTCGCGTACGGCCCAGCGAGCCCTGCATCAATTTCTGCTAGAGAAAGCCCATTGGGATAGCCTGGGAAGGCGGGATTAGACACCAGAGCCCTTGCGGCCAAACCCATCGAGGATCCAATACCCAATCCAACCGACAGAAAGAAGCAACCAGCGAAGATAAAGGCTTTGCTAGTGCCGGCAGGTCGAGCTGCAATGCTTCGCTGCCAGTATGACTGATCGCAGAATGACAGGCCGAAAAACGAAGTAGTGGCTGTCAGCGCATAATACATGCCACCCTGACTTCGAAAAGAGAGATAAGACTCATGTCCGTTACCTGAGACAGGAACCGCCTCGGAAGCAGCGAGTAAAAGGTCATACAGCTTTCCAGGCGAGCCAATAGCATCGCCTCGGGTGTAAGTTGCCAGAATCAGGACGACAAGGCATGTAAACAGGATACAACAATGGAGGTAATCGGCTATGAAAGTTGCACGAAGACCACCAGTCAGCACGTAGGCAACAATGACAAGCGGTAAGAGCCAAATGGCAGCATATTCGCTCAGACCCGTCATTCCCGTGAGAACACCAGCACCGCCGATAAGAATCTCACACCCTACGACGAAGTTGGCGACAAGAGCGGCGAACATATACGCCCAGTGGCCCAAAACACCGAAGCGCACCTTGGCAACCTGAAGATAAGTTGAGGCTCCGCTAGCATTCGCTTTTATTTTCGAGGAGATGAATGAGAAAGCTGCGATTTCCACGAATCCTCCGATGCCGAACCACCAGGGTATAGAAACACCGTAGCTGTAGGTGAGTGTTCCTGTCTGCAGGAAGACTGCTGCCCACACCCACGCAGACGTGATGCCTACCGACAACCTGTGCGCGAATCAGTGAAGGGTTCTTGTTCGCCAAGTCTTGATCTCAACATACATGCCGGTCTTGACGGATCTGGAAGCTGAGGAGAACTCCTCAATCTTGCCAGGATCAAAGTTTGTGTACCGTCTCTGGACCCATGTGAATACGTTCATCAGGGTAGCGAAAAAGACGCCGCCGACCAAGACTACATGTTGTTAGTGATTTGACGGCGGTATATCATGGAAGCTACTTACTGGTCGCATATCCAGCGCTTTGAGGCAGTAGGGCCATGGTGATGGTCGTGGTTAGGGCACAAGCTAATGTCCCAGAGACCACAGATACGTGGCAGCGCTTGCTTTATAAACGGGACCATCTTGCATTGATTGGTGGTCCTGTTGAATCTAGATGCAGCTCGGCCATCCGAGAATTCTGCATGTCCTCTATGCCGTCGAATATTGCGTGATACGGCACGAATCATGAACATTCTGACTCAATCGAAGCCTAGACCTAGCGCGCAGTAAGTGTGAAAGTATATTTGATAGCCACTAAATAAATTGGTATGTTCTAGAATTTAATGAAAAACAATTGTATACAAACTCGTGGCCAGCTTCACAAATAAAAAGATTTTGATGGGGTGCGGCTCTGGCTTGCCGAGACTTCCGTAGCTAGCTCCCGCACCCGCTTACCCAATCATATGTACAGACTCCCCAAAAGCGTGGAATAGCACGTAATCCACGCCCGAAATGTCATTTACGTCGAGATAGTGAACAATGAACGTTCCTCAAAGACATCCATATTGCTGCCATTGATCACTATCTGGTCTTGCATAGTATGCCACAATGGACCAGCTTGAGGAGGTTGTTGATCTGTCCGGCATCAGGGGCAAGATGCTCGTCGCCTGCGATATATGCCGGCGACGAAAGGCATGTTTCGGCTCGCGATCTCTATCAAAGGACCGCTCGCTAATAAATGGTTTATTCTGTAGGTACGCTGTGATGGCCAGAGACCGTGCTCGAGATGCAGCAAAGCAGACAAGAAATGTACCTTCGCGACGCCGTGAGTATCTCTGTGTGTTGTGACTGTGAGCACAGAATCTAAAGTCCAGACAGGAGGCGAGTGCTGGTGCATCCTGGAGATGACATGTAAGGAGAGAACATTCTCGAGCGAAAAATGCCTATATAATCTCACATCTGAGAGAAGTAGAAGAAGCTCTCATTCGTCTCGCAAACGATCTGTCTCCAAGTCCTCATCGCTGGGACCAACGGCTACAAAAAAGCCAAACATAGCCGACAAATCCAACATGGTTGACGTGAGCTACTGATTTCCTTATTTAAAATTCAGACAGCTGAAACTCAGTCAAAGCGAACACAAACACCCTCCGAGTCGGGTAAAGCACACCTTCTGATGATCGATCAAGATGACCAAATCGTTTACTCAGGACCGTCTACGGGCATGCCATTATTTGCTCGCCTCGGCTTGCTTCAGACTGTTGAAGTTTCGGAAAGTGACAAGAATCCGTTATATTTTTCATCTCACTCTGCAGGCGCTTTAGGCATAATAGGAGCTTCGCGCTCTTCGTGTGATTTCTTGGACCTCTGCCTACAACGTTGCCCACAGGAACTCATGTTCAAATTGATAGGCCATCATCTAACCAGCCGTCAGTTAATCCGCTTTAAGAAAGTACTTTGAGTGACACTAATCCGCTCTTACCTTCAGCTCTATTCTTTCCTGTCCTACACTCCCCTTCCCTATTATCCGTAAGTCTCCTTGTTCTATAATTGGGATCGTTCAACCGTGGCTGACGTCTGGCCCAGGAATTCGTCGCGGTCACCAAGCGACGATTGATCTGCACCGCTCAATATGGAGCTTTCTTGATGAGCATTCTCGCTGTGACGGTTCGGTTGGTCGAAAATGCCAAGCTCCTTCTTCCGCCTTCTGAGCGCGAACAAGCCAGCGAGTCGTACTTTGAACTTGCACAGGAGCTGCTGAGATCCAGCAAAAACAAGCTCGACATTCGGCATATCCTGGCTCTATACCGTACTGTGACCACTCTGGCTCGAGTTGTAAGTTTACTGACGTGACATGCAGATCTCGCATTGTTCTCCGAAGGCCGCAATAGTTCTACTGGTTAGTAGTGTTTGCCAATGTCGCCAGACCGACGTTAATAACGTTTACCAGGTCCAGTCTCTAGTTTCGTTGCGGAAGCCATTGGCTTAGCATTCACAACCGGTCTACATCGCAGTACCACAGATTTCAAGATGGACCCAGTGACGCTGCAAGTACGCTTCCTTGACCCGATGTAATACTGTGAAAGTGCTAAGTTGGCAGATCCGCACACGCCTCTTTTGGGCTTTATATTCTCTAGACATCTCCCTTGCATATTCCCAGGGCCGTCCACCACTTATAAAGTTATCAGAATGTAAGGGCACCGAATCTATGGTGCGAGCGAGCGCTGAGACTCGATAGGCAGCGTTGAACTACCCGTCATCGTGGACAATGAATTCATCACCAAGACGGCGATTTTATCCCAACCGGAGAGCAGTCCACCAGTGCCTATGGCAGCGGCTGTCAAGATAACTGAGGTATACATGGTCCTCGAGCAAGTGAGTTGTTTTCCTGAGGTCATTCGACCCGAGTCTCAACTAGGTTTAGGTACTGTCTGCGATCAATGCTCCATCAAAGACAGCTGCGGCTGCCTTCTCCCTTGACGACCGGCCCTTCGAAAGGAACGACATATTCATAAGGGCTCAAGAAAGACTAGATCAGGTATGTTCAGATGATCCAATGTCAAGATTCATGCTTAAGTCTACCGAGCAGATTGAACGAAATCTCCCACCGTACCTTACCCAAGTCAATATCACCTCTTCACGTCAAATCTCGAAATTCTTTCACTCCAGCCGCGTACGAGCCACTAGCCAATTCGTGCGGACTTTAATAGCCCGTCAAGCTCTCATTGACGGGCTCGATGCAAATCCTCCACTGGTAGACGAAGAAATCGACTCTCCTACGTCCGAAGCCTGTCGGCTTTCAATAGACATCATCAAGACTTATTCCCGACTACGACACACAGGCCACCTTCGCTATTGCAGCTTTCAAGCTGTTTCTCACATCACAGCTGCTGCACATACACTTATCGCATGTATGCTGAGGAATTCCAACCTTGCATTCGAGCATCGTCCCGATCTACTGACCGCCATCGACCTGTTACTCGTTATGTCTTCTCCCTTCCCATCCGCTAAAACTGTCGCTCAGCTTCTTGTTCAGGTATCCCGAACCTTGGACTATCACCATGGCTCAACTAGCCAGACTGAAGCCGCAGCAATTCGTGTCCTCGCAAGGAAATTTGCACCATCTACAACATCCAACTCCTCCCCCCAAACAAGCGCGTCTGACAAGCAGCCCGTGTCATCCTCATTCGGGCCTGCTCCGCCCTGGCAATCTGGTGACAATACTACTGTCCTCCCGCAACTCGGTATTGAAGCGCTCCAAACAAATCCCTTTGCTAGCGGTGGTTTCTCCGCTGATAGGAACCACTCCTCATCAATTCTGGACACCCTCGCACCTCCTCAATCTGGTCACTCAGCGGATATTCCACCTAATTATGCTCTTACGACTGAAGAGTTAGCGTATGGGTGGAATTTATCCTCCCCATCCACCTCGTTTGTCACCGAGTCAAATCCATGGGCAGTGGCATAATCCTACACCTGCAGGTAGCGCAGGAACGGGGGTAGACTCGTCGTGGGAGGATGGTGTATTTTCATTTTTGAATGATGGTTTATTTGACATTTTGTAAAGTAGTTTTTGTACAACTGATGTATACGGATAGTTGTGTTGCAAATGTTTATTCTAATCAATGAGTTCCCTAATATGCTTTTTCCACGCTGGCCAAGCACCCCATCTTCCTTGATCATCGACTTCTTCGGGACCTCCTTCGCCAATTAATTGGAGAAGGTGCTCTGCATATGTAAATCTACATCAATAGAGAGATAAGTTAGTCAGTCTGCCAAATTGTTTAAGAATATAGAGTAGGGTAAAAAACATACTCTCCCGGATGCCCAAGAACCAACACATCATGCGAGTCCACGTCCTCCTGTGGATGAGGTGTTAGTTTGAGCGGTGCATCAGTCCAATGTGCGGCGGCTACGCGGGCTTGCATCTCGGAGAATGGCCAGGGAATAGCTTCTGCATGAAGAAGTAGGAACGCGAGAGTTGGGTCGGGAAGATAGAAGAGTTGATATGCGTCGAGGTTGTGAACCCCTGTTCCTTGTGTTAGTGGCACTAACCAGAACGGCTGGAATATGTGTTGGACTCACTGTGTCCGCCCTCGAGGTCAGCCTGATCTACCAAGTCCTTGGGTGGACGGCGCGATCCTGCTGGAACATCCGGACGACGTACCAGGGGTGCCTTGTCGAATGGAGCATCGGATGAGTGGCAGAATTCAAAGCGAGCCACAAAGCCAGTAGCAAATATGATCGCCTTGTTTCTACAGTCAGCTTCATAGACTGAGTGAGTTGAAAAGAAGAGACGGGACTGACATCTATATCGTCCAGAACCTCGTTCGCAAGAGTGATGATCCGTCCTGTGGTAGAATGCGAAGATGGGGCCTCGACAGTTCGCATTCGTGCGACGTTGGTGATATACTTGGTCCATCCCTTTTCCTGTTCGGTGTCGTAACGTAGCTTGTTTTTGAATGAACGGTACACCTTGGTGGGCGCCAGAGGTGATTGCTCAACACAAAGCATGCCGAGTTCTCGCACAATATCGGCGCCTGGATTCGACTTGTCAGTCATATTGCTATATGGAGAAGGGAGAAAGAAAACTCACTAGAGGGACCAGACCCAACGACCATAACTGTCTACGTAGTCCTCAGCTTGAACTCTGGGGTAAATCCCACGACGATAGACTTACCTTTCCGGCAAACACCTTGGCATTTCTATACCACCTGGAGTGCAATAATTCCCCCTTCCAGTCCCACAATCCATCCGTGTACGGAATGAATGGTCTTGAATCTGTCCCGTTTGCGACGACAATATGGTCAAATCCTTCCTCGAATGTGATTCCCACGTCCGGCAAGCTGCCTGTTACAGATGGCGTCCACTCCACTGACCATCTTTTCCTATGACCACTGCCTTTGGGTGTATGCCGCACTCGAGTGACGACCCTATTCAGTCGGATGTAATCCGCGTAGCGGGCAGCGTGCTGTTTTTGATATTGGTAGATTACGTCGTAAGCTGGACTCTCCGCTGTACCTTTCGGATATGGGTTCGAGCGATAAGGCATTATATCCTGAAGCAAAAATAAACAGAAGCCTCCGCGAGGAGGATAGGTTCTCACTCACTCTAGGTGTATTTGCCGTGACACCAGCATACATTGGTGTTGGGGCCGGTGCTGGCCTACCGGAACGTTCCAGGTCCGTAAGTGCGATGGCATGGCCATCCGCAGCAAATGTTATACGGCATGGCGGAGGTGTTGCATCAAAATTCCTACCAATATATTCTCGTGAGAAATGTCTTTCCTTACCTAGGTAAGGGAGTAAGGGCCGACTGACCACAGACCGCCGGCACTGTCTCGTGCCTCGTACGCCACAACATCGAAACCTTTGCGCTTAAACTGCTCAATAGCACCTAACCCTCTTGAATAAATCTTATATCAGCCTCGTCTGTAGATCTGGGATAAGTTGAACTCACGCTGGGCCGCATCCTATGATGAGGACCGATGGTCTGATTGTGGCAGTCATCACTGATTGGTGGTGTCTCGGTCAACGACTAGCAGGTCATGGATCTTTTTTATGCAAAAAGAAGTAACACATTATCGAGCAAGTCTAGGTCTCCAAACCTCCGCCGCTAAAGTTATACGGCCTCGGTGGACCGAAAGCACGTAATATCTCGGATGGCCGAGCACGACGCCTAGACAGAACAGCCGGGCTATATGATGTTAACAACATCGGCAGGGCCTAAAAAGTAAGTATCGGTACTTATAGCATTACAGTGCTTGAGAACCGCCTGAGAAAGGCCTTGCTGAATATCTAGCGAATATTGTGGCCCATATCGACAACATGCCAGTGCCGCTCATCATAGACCCAACATCCTCTCTTCTTTCTCACCCCGGGGTGGTCATCCTCGACGCCTCATGGCTGTACGAACCTGACCCGCCTACACGCAACGCATACGACGAGTTCAACGCGGGCCCTCGTTTCCCAAATGCGCGTTTCTGGGACCTAGACGCCGTTTCCGAACCTCATCCCGACGGGTACAGCTTGATGCTCCCGTCGCCTGAGCGATTCGCGGCCTTTGCTGGGAAGCATGGTATAACTAAAGATTCCCACGTGGTGGTGTATGATAGTGAAGGCATTTTCTCAGGTCCCCGGACTGCATGGACCTTCAAGGTTATTATCCTATCTCCCCTTGGGTTCCAAATAATAGGCAGAGACTGACTGCATGTAATAAAATTGCAGATTTACGGACACGAGAAAGTGTCAGTGATTAACGGCGGTCTGCCACGGGCAAAGAAGGAGGGTATCAATCTCGAAACAGGCCCACCACAACATTTCGAAGTGAGCTTCAACCGGGCACGACACGCGCTGCAACTTGGAATAATTGTTGACATTCTTAGGAAACCCAATATCCGGTTCCTACCGTGAAGCATGACGCTGTTGTTCGTACGTACTGTAGTATCCGGACCTCAATGTTTACTGAACTGACCGCTTGGCAGAGTTCGACGAAGTTCTGAGACTCGCACAGCGCCCATCACCCTCCTCCGAGGGCGTATTTTTGATTGATGCAAGACCCGTCGCGTCCTATGAGGCTGGCCATATACCTACATCTCTTCTTCTGGACTTCCCTTCGTCCCTTCTCCGGGACACGAGAGATTTTACCTACATTCGACAGCCAGACGACTTGAAGAATCACATTGCGCAACGACTTGGGCAAGATAAGCTCGACCAGATCATCGCCAGCAAAGTGACGGTTGTTAATAGTAAGGTCTACTGTTGCAAAAGCTTCCAGCTCGAATACTAATGGGTTTGATAAGCTTGTGGTGGTGGACTGTCAGCAGCGATTAATTGGTTGCATCTCCAGTCCCTTGGAGTGGATTCTAGACTTTACGACGAAGTAAGGCTCTCCTTTATACATTTTATGTTCAGACATTCAATTGACAAAATACTATTCAGGCCTGGGGAGGCTATTCCGCGCGAAAAGATCCTCCTAAAACGACCGGCACAAATCCTTTGTAAAACATCGAGCCGTGGTTTATGTATCTAGTCATACTTCATCTGAGGTTTGTGCCTCCCAAAGCCCAGTAACTGCACGCTTTCCATTGACCTCTTCAACCTTGACAATCGTCGTGGCGCTCTGCTTGAGTTCCTTGCTATCTTCCTTCCCTCTAGTCACATACGCTGTCCATTGCCCAACCACACCCGTGGAACCGGCTTCATTTGTAGACACGATATTCAGGTCTTTGATCTCAGTAATAGATGCGACGAAGGCCGTGCGGAATTGTTCCGTGATGAGGGTTATAAATGCGGCCTTGGTAAAGCGAGTTCCGTTGATCCTAATGAAAAGATCATATCTGAGCATATGATCCCAAAGGGGGTTTCAGAGCAAAAATTGATACGTACACAATCTCAGCGTTCGGAGCAATATCAGTATCTAGCACTGAAGCTGCGAGCATGTCGTCAGCCTGGAATAGGGTGTGCGTAAAGAAGGAGTCCACGAAGTCGGCAACGGTAGGGCGAGGCATTTTTGTAGGTAGTATGAGAGAAAGAGCAAAATAGGAAATTAATAGTGACTGTCGTAGGCTGGGGGGACATGGCCCTTTTATACTTGACACTGCATAGCCATGACCAATGAAAGTTTAGAACTACAAATCCACCTAGCCCAGCCTTTTGGTTTCTATGGCTTTCCTAAATGGAGACATTATATGAATATCAATTGAATGACCTAACGTGGCATGATGAGGTACTCATAGGACTGTTATTCTCTAGGGGGAAAGTACTTTTTCCACTTATGTTTGTTTCCTATACTTCTATTACACGGTCTGCTCTATACGCTCATCACACGGTTCTTGAAGTTGGATAATCACACCAGATTGATATCATGTGGTATTGAAGCTCGGATCTTACAAGCTATCCATTCGGATTTTCCAGCCATTTTTTTCCACAGAAGCTTTATGGCCGCCTGTGGTATCTCTCGTGCGAGCCCTTCGTCCTGCACCGGAGGACAACCTAAGCGAATTGATGCTTTTACTACGTTAAACGCGCGTAATACCCTGTGCATAGAATGAGATGAGGTCAGTCTCATACTTGGCTAGAATTGGTGTGAAACATACCTATTGCCCATGATGAAGTCAATGTCTGGGTTTTCCCAAACGAAGACTTTTAGCAATGTGAATGCTGCAAGAACCCCATCTTGAAACAGTTTCCATGTCGAGAGTTGAAATTTCTGAGTCAGATTGTGGATTATTTCATTTATCATTGGCTCTAGTACGGCCAAATGTGTAAACCAGTATGTCAATCTTAGTCGTGTTGTGACTGGCGTCACAACTCCTTGATCGGGCTCAGTAGACCATCCCAGACAACTTGGCAGACGAACCAGCCAATCGTGGACTTGATTTTGAAGTTCCAAAATCAAAGTCGAACCTTGGGAATGGCTAGGTGTAGAGGTGTCTAAGGAGTAAGCTGTTGGTTTGGATGTTGTAAGGGCCCGGTTCAAGATCCTCTTTAGGGACATCTCTGCCATGAATAACATGATCTCGTCACGAATGCGTGGTGGTAGGTTTGCGTTGTGAGGAATGTCGCATCCAAGCGGTAAGGGGAAATTCTCTTCGAGTAGACACAAAGAACTCTGGGAAAGTGTTTCATCGATTTCGAGAATCAATTCACTGTATGGGTTAGCGTGATTGGTTGCTACACACATTGACCTTGGGCTAATTCGTACTGCTCGAGATTGTAGCAAATCCAGTAGCTAGCCATGATGTTATTTCGTTCTGTTTTGTTCCGCTGAACGCCCGCGGCATTATCTCTATATAATTCTGTTAGCCTCTAAGGCAATAGACCCAGCTTTGCAGTACTCTTACCTCAGGATCAAAGTATAAAGGGAGGTGCATGCCGTATGCAGTGCCATGGAGAAGTTTATTAATCGCCCCTTCTTCAGCAGAAATAGCGAGGACAATATGAGTACTTGGACATATTCTAAGCTTAGTTGAGCATTCAATCGGCCAAGCATCGAGTTTGCAAGCTGAAAGTCTGACAGGCCACTTTCCGTTGAAGAGCAGTCACTGAAGGCCTTTGAAAGGGCAACCATTAATAGCGCATAGCACGAACGTATATTGGTGAGCAATCCCTCTGATCGTACAATGCCGGCCACATTGTATGCTGTAGACTTGCACGTGAGAGGAAAAAGCGCCCGGGGGTGCTCGAGAAAGTCATCTACAAAGGGCATCAAATCCATAACATCAGTCGGCGTCGTAGTAGCTAACAAGTCCGGCAAGGGTGGTCTTATTTCCTCGCGGGCCATCAACGCACCCCGAGAATGTGGCATCGGGGTTGGATAGCCTTGCCCGCTATCTAGAATCTCGTCAAACTCGATATCTGGCCTTATAGAGTTGGCACTAGAGAACTTCTTTCCTAGCATCTGCCTCGGTGGGAATGTGACCCCATTGTCTAGATTTCCTGGAATAGGCATTTTCCGTAGCTCTGCGCTTCTTTCTCCGGGTTCTGCTCGCTGATAGTCCAGTTTGCGGTGCAGCCCTTCAATTGTCCTCTCCACCTGGTCAAGCCGGTCCAGCAAGACCGCCATTACGTCGGCATTGCTATTCCATTGTTAATCGTCCTTGCAGTTTTCAGCTTCCAGGGAACAGAATCTCACCCTTTTTGGCTCGTGTATTCCGTATATATACAGCGAAAGCCATGACGACCACAATAACTACAAAAAGGCCGACCTTCATCGCACTTTACCTTCTTGTGGCGGCAGGTCTCGCAAGCCTGCGCACTGCAATGAGCATTGTCGGCGCTAATCTGGAAAACAAGGCAAGACTTACCGCGTAAGCCTTGTGTGCAGAACTCTTAGGAGTCGACAGCAAGGCGTTTGCGTGGAACGATGGGTTTTCCGGATCACCCGTTGAGGCGAGTCTTTGCAGCTTTCTCGCGTCTTGGACCAGGCTTCTCCTTCGCTTTTGCCGGGGCGGTTCAGCCATATTGCTCTGTTAAGTGCAGCAATGTCAGTGGTAGTTCCGGATTTCTGTCGCAAAAATAATACAAACATTCATTATCAGCGGCCTAAGAGGAAGAAAATGGCGCCATCGCATCCGAAAAGACGTTATGGCCCCTGATTTATAGCGTCGACTTTTATTCGACAGACACGCGGAGCCAGCCGAAAGTTGAAAGGCATGGAGGCTTTATCATGCAGGCAGGGCATGGCCAAATACAGAGGATATCTCATAGATATCGCCAAACCCGTCAATCCGTCCAAAAAGCAACACCCCGCCAAACAGATATACATTCATTCAGTCCATTATGGCCGACCAATCTATTCATCGTGTAGCTGTCATTGGAGCAGGCATATCCGGAGTAGTCACTGCCGCGCACCTCAAATCCGAAGGACTGGACGTGACGGTGTTCGAAAGAGCGCCAGTCAGTGGAGGCGTGTGGTTCGTATACTGATTCACTGACTGTGAGAATACCCATGTTCACTGCTTACGGAGAAGAAGGGTTTGGGATCCGAGACTACCAATCGAGCCCGACTACCCATCAGCCAAAGCCTCTCTGGCTGAGCACACGTTCCACCAGTCTGCAGACAACACTGACCGGTACAAATTACATGCAAGTCCAGGGTCAGAGTTTTATTTAAGAGCAATCATGAGTATTGGTGCTGATTGACATAGACCTTGTTACGACAGTCTGAAGAACAATGTTCCAACAGATCTGCTAGAATTGAGTCTTAATACTTGGAAACCAAACACGGAGTCCTTTGCGAATCATCGTGTCCTCGCGGAATATATTCAAGACACAGCTTCCAAGACTGGTATAGCCGGTCAGACGCTTTTCAACACCAAGGTTGAACGTGTGAACAAGCAAGATGGGAAGTGGAGGGTTGAGACGCGTACCTGGGATCACGACACACAGGAGACAGCTGCACAACACTGGGTATGTCCTTCCTCCCTAACAAGAGTAGTCGACCTAATAGCCTCCAGGTATTTGAAGCTGTTGTTGTAGCTTCAGGTCATTATCATGCTCCGAAGACGCCTAGTATCCCTGGATTGGCTGAATGGAAAACCGCATGGCCGTCAAGAGTAAGCCACTCAAAAAGCTATCGAAATAACAAAGGATTTGTGAACCAGGCACGTAAATTAATGTATGTCTGAATTCGAGGACCTCCAACACTAACGTTGCCGTCAGACCGTACTACTCATTGGGGGTAGCGCCTCTTCCTTGGATATCGCCAAAGAACTCAGTCTTGTTACCAAAAAAGTGTGGCAATCGACAAGAGGTGGTGCGTTTGACCATCCAGAATCCTCGCTGCCCGAGAATGCCACAAGAGTAGGGCAAGTAGCTCAGTTTGGCCCTTTACAAACCGATCCTCCTTCTGAGTCCAGTGCAATTCCGGGAACAGTGACGCTGGCCAATGGCCAGGTTTTGGAAAACATTGACCGCGTAATTGTTGCAACTGGATATCAATTTAGCCTTCCCTTCCTGTCGGAGTATCATCGCGACGACCAGGCGCCGGAGCAAGCAGACGACCTTGTCCTCGTCACGGATGGTTTACAGCTGCACAACCTGCACAAAGACATATTTTATATTCCAGACCCGACGCTTACGTTTGTGGGTGTGCCGTTCTACACTGCGACATTCTCGCTCTTTGAGTTCCAGGCCATCGCCGTCGCTGCTTTCTTATCAGACAACGCAAAGCTCCCGGCTGATTCTGTTATGCGAGCTGAGTATCTCCACAGAGTCAAAGAGAAAGGTTATGGAAAGAAGTTTCATAGCTTGTGGGGGAAAGACATTGAATACGCTGCCGAGCTGATGCGATGGGTTAACGAAGGGAGAGCACCATCGGACAAGAAGCCTGACGGCTATTCACGAGAGTGGATTGAGACCAAAGAGAGATTGATGAAGCTGACACATCCGAAAAATGTCCTGAATAGCGGATTCGAAAATCCAGAAGCTGCTTCCTAAGTTATATCATGGCTAGTTGTTTGCATTTTTATGTCCTGTGTTTCTCGACTGTCGGTCAAGCTTCAAACAAAATTTAGCAGTACATATAGAGTTGCACTTTTTTTCTTCTAACAAATAATCATGATGGTCATCATCAAGTACGGCTACTTTGTAAGGATCGGGGACTAGTCTTGATTATGACATATTCCTATCAATGTGACTCTAAACCACGCAACGCCAATTTACTCGAAACAGGGCCTGGCCAACCCCAAGATATAGCGTAGGATATTACTTGCACACTATCACACTTGTCATTATCGCCTATAAATATTCTTTGATACATCGCAGATTATATACTCCAGTAGTCTTAAGGTGAAGTACCCGTACAATCAGTTTGAATCCGTGACGTCGTCCTCATCTGGCAATGTCGCGATGTAATCGTTCCAGACTTTTTGAATATCGTTCTTGTAGATAAAATCCTTATTCCCGCCCAGTAAATTATCTATTCTGGCTTTTAGAAGCTCATCGAGTGTGTGGCTCTCTGATTTACGCTGCTTTTGCATTTTCTCACGACCTTCGTCGAGATGCGCATACCTGTGGCAAAAAAAATCAGACATCACCTCCGTGAAACTTCGCAGATGTGTTATTTAGAATTACTCACATTCTCATATAATAAGGCGACCTGATTTCATCAAATATTTTCAGCGCACGGGGGAGAGGGCTAGCAGACGACCTCGTTCGCTCAAGAGCACGCGCCAGAATCCAGCCGTCCTCCATGGCAAACGTTGCTCCGGAGCCAAAGGCACCTAGAAAGTGTCAGACTAGATATAGCACACAAGGGTTATATCATACCTTGAAGAGGATGGCTGGCATCGCCTATAAGCACGACCTTATCCCACCCGGTTATGTGTTCGAGACGAGGGCCAGCATAGCCGGCAAACTCCCTCCACTGTCCCTCTGGCACAACGCCAACCGCATCCCTGACTCGCTGATCAAATTTCTACTTGAAGATTAGCAAAAACAACTGCTAAGATAGACCTGTCAGCCCATACCAATACCCGCGATGCTACTTTGTCATTGCTAGCGGGGATGCCCCAGGGAACGGTCGTGCCAGCAATCTCGGGTTCGTGGTACGAGCGAATAGTTATCTCAAAGTGTGGATCAGCAGTCTCTGTCTCATCGTCTACATCAGACACATATGCGTGGCCGGTTTCTCCCCACCACCAGGCCGTTGTTTGAGTGATGTCTGGGATGTGAGCCAGGGAGGACTTGGGAACAAGCACGCGCCAGGCCGTGTTTCCTGCAATTTGGTTGTCAACGGAGCTATTAGGCGATAACCAAGGTGTTTCAGCCTACCTGTAAAGTGAAGTTGATGGTCCGGAAAGAGGATTCGTCGCACAATCTATAGTGTAACGTGAATAAATCATCACAGGTACAATGAAGAACAATAAACACTGACTGATCGTATACCGTCGGCACCAACGACGAGATCTACAACTACCTCAGTTTCATCCTTGAACTTAACACGCACGCCTCCCTCTTCAAGGTTATCGAGAGACACGACCCTCTTGCCGTATTCGATGATCTCTGCAGGCACTCTAGCGAGGAGAGCTGACTGGAGTCGAGTTCTACGGGCCCGAATGGATCCACGGGCATCAGCACCAGAATTTTCCGGTTGCTCTTGGACATTGAGGATTTTTCCGGTATACCCATTTCTGTCATCATAATGCGTTAGGCATAGCAAAAGATAAATTTACGTTCAAGCGAGCAACAGACTTGCTAACCTCTGGTGAGTATTTGCCTTTGAGCCCCCTTTAACACCATCGCTTGCTTGCAGCAGGTCCAGGATCTTCCAGGCGTTCGTGCTCAAGCTAATACCCGCGCCGGCCTCTCGGGGCTCTGGGTTCTGCTCGTAAAGTCTGACGTGAACAAACGGTAGCTTGGACAAGGCGATAGCAGTTGCGAGCCCTCCAGGGCCGCCTCCAATAATGGCAACTGTGATTAGTGATTTTGCAATCATAATGCTCAATCAGGTAATCCGTGACACACTTTCTTTTTCTTTTCTATGTCCACAAAGATATACCAAATTCCGTGACTTTAAGTTGAAATATACCGCAATCGGATAGAAGGAGCACGGTCTGAGAAGTGAATATGTATTCTAGTCGTCCCCAAAGCACGTCAGCCCGGATTATAGCAACGCGATTTTTAGAAAGCTTCATCATTGGCTGTGCACGGGATGGCGTTCCGAGCGCAGAGAGACACATATATATTTTCTACAAATATTGAACACAGTTGAGCTAGCATGTCCCGACTCATGATTTCAATCCAATAGCTTACGTGTTGTGCAAAGACCCCGGGCTGGTACTTCGGAATTCCCCCCCGTAGCCATTGGCTAGGAGGACACCAAAGAGATTGGATAAACAGATACGATTCCTTCCACAAGCGAAGAGGTTCTGTTTCTTGTTTCTAGATCGACTGTGAATGCGCAAACACCAACTCTAGTGCCATTCGTGTTTTCATCCTGGTATGGCGAAAAATCCAGGGTGTATGAGTACTCAACTTTATAAACGAGAGGCTTGTAAATGTCTGGTAGCGTCCAATTTAGTCTATCTGGCGCTCATCTGCTACAAACATTGTCCTCCCTCGAAATACAATGCCGAAAGATATAGAAGTATCCGCTGCGACCTTTGGCAACGACGAAGAAGGGGTCGATACGATCTTCGTTAAGGAAAAGCCGAAGAAGACATGGCGGAGCAATATATGGGACACTTGGGACAAAACACCCGAGGAGCGGCGATTCCTGTTCAAACTAGATGCGGGAATCCTCTCAATCTGTTGCTTAGGTATGCCCTTTCAACGCGCAGTGCCAGTCGGAAAGTGTCGGTTCTAACTGGGTGTGCAGGGTACTTCATCAAGTACCTCGATCAGGCTAACCTAACTAATGCCTACGTGTCCGGCATGTAAGTGATCTCCCGACCTTGCATGCGTGAAGGGTTGTGATTAATATACACACTGAAATACGAAGGCAAGATGATCTCGGCATGTACGACAATCAGCTGAACTATGTAACCACTTTGTGGACTGTGGGATATATCATTGGTCAAATACCAAGCAACATTGTTCTGACGAGAGTGAGGCCGTCTATTTGGCTGCCTTCATCTGAGGTATGAATTCTCTCGAAAATCATGGGAAACACAGTACTAAGCCTGGCAAGATTGTCTGGACCGTACTCACTATGTGTCTTTCTCGATGCAAAACGGTGACGCAGCTATATGTGCTGCGATTCTTCATTGGTACTATCACTTTTTTACGTCTTTTGAAGCAAGCATTATTAGTCGGGCTGATACAGTGTAGGACTGGCAGAAAGCACGTACTATCCTGGCGTGTTGTACATGATGGGAGCATGGTGTAAGTTTTTGATTCGTCTACGTTTTCCTAATGTCCCTATCGGCTGCACTCCTTTTTGAGAGCGAAAGACTGATTTGATTGCGAATTAGATCGCAAGGATGAGCTCGGAAAGCGAGCAGTCATATTTAACGTCAGCTCGGCACTGGCCACCATGTTCTCAGGCTATCTCATGACAGCGGTGATTGGCCTCGATGGACGGGGCGGCTTGAAAGGCTGGCAATGGTGAGAATGCTTGACATTGAATGCCGTGCGAGATGCTAATATCGTGAATATCAGGCTCTACATCATGGACGGAGTCATTTCACTGCCATTGGCTCTGGCCGGCTTCTTCGTTATGCCCGATACCCCTGCCAACAGTCGCGTGTGGTATCTAAACAAACAGGCAAGTCCGTGTTCCATCAATATGGTCCAGTATTGACTGACGCCTATGTCGTCTCTAGGACAAAGCGATTGCAATTGCCCGGGTTCAAAAGGAAAAGCGGGAGCAACTTCAGCCATACACGAGACAGAAAATGTTCAAGATCCTGGCCTCATGGCATATTTACCTTCTTCCTCTTCTATTCTTGTAAGCTTCTGGCAGTGGCATGGTTGAGTTAGGAGATTTGTTTTCGTACTGATACAATCCCAGCCTAGCTGGTGCTGCTGGCGCCCTCGGTCAGCCGATCTTCTCTCTGTACCTCAAAGATAGCGTAAATCCAAAATATACGACTGCTCAGATCAATGACTATCCGACTGTGACCTCCGCCGTGCAAATAGTCGCTTGTCTCGTTTACGCGTGGGTATCTGACGGCCTCTTGGACGGAAGGAGATGGCCGGTCCTTCTTTTTGCAACAGTAAGACTTAGATTGTCGCCAATTCTCAATGAATGCTGACATAGCCGCAGACGATTAGCTTTGTCTTATACGTTTCCCTTGCGGTGTGGGATATTCCTGAAGGGTGGCGTTGGGCCTGTTACATTATAGCGGGACAAGGGGTGATTGTTAGCCCTCTCATCCTAGTGTAAGCCGCTACAGTTCCCTTTCTATAAATGACACGGATACTGACATTATGCAAAGATGGGCAACGGAAATTTGCTCGGACGATGCTGAAGAGCGGGCAATAGTAGTGGGCACCACGAATGATTTCGGATATGTCATCTCGGCGTGGCTGCCATTGATTATCTGGCAGACTGTCGATGCTCCCAGATATCACAAGGGTTTCATCACGGCTAGTTGCTCCTGTGTAGCTGCTGTCGTCCTTATCATGGTGATCAATATTCTTGTAAGACGGGATCAAATAAGGTGAGTTTCGCAAAACAGCCAAGCAATTCCACAAGCTGATGCATAGTTTCTAGGAAAGAGGGTATGAGAATAGCAACAGGGTCTAATTCTATTCAGGGATCAGGGGAATTCTCCAAATCTGAATAAAAGTCGGAATGATGGGAAATCTTTGGTGAAGAGAAGATTGTCTGTACAAAAGAACTCCAGAGCATAGGTATTAACCGGTTTAGAGGCGAAGAGGGCGAACTATACACATAACAAATTGTCTCTACATTAGACTAAAACTAGTTAGTTTGATTGCCTTAGCTGCAGAGCAGCTTGAGTATACGCAGTAAGTACCCATCAGTACTCTTTGAGTACAAAGCCGGTTGCAGTGGAACAGCATAGATGCTTCATACCAGAGCTAGACCTGACTATTCTACCTAATGCATCTGTTTGACAGCAACAGTTCCAAAAATCTCCTCCATTATATCCCAATTCGCTGAAAACGCGTAGAAGTATCAACTCTGAAGCGAGTCGACATGCATCTACAGATTCTTCCTAGCATGCAACAAATCTTCACAGAAAGCCATATTTCTTCAAACTACCGTTCACAACTCATCGAGAATAAAAAAAAAACATTCATGTCTAACAGTATTATTAGCACTTAGTATGTTCTTCGCTGCTTCCAAATGCCCCCAGGCTTTCAATGCACTTGACAGTGATCACCTTATCAGGTCAAGCATGTTCACATGTAGCTTTAGCTGACAAGTGATATCCCAACGAGTTTCCTTCTCACATTCATATGTTGGCTTCCAGCCTATTGCCCCAGCGGTGTACTATATGGGTGCCGCCTCCCACTTTGTGTACCATATCTGAGCTTAGAGATATAGCTGGCATCCTATTCTCATGGGTTTGATGACTGCTTCTGGAAGCGGAAAATACGCCCAGGTAAGGGATATCACTGCTAGGGTTACACTACAAGTGGTCATTTCAAGACACCCTGACATTATGCCATGCTTTATTCACATGGATATAAAGAATGCCCACTGTAGATAGCTGCAGCCTGTGCACGAGGTGTTCCTCTTTGTCTGGAGAACTCTAGTCGTATATTATTGATAATTTCAGAGATTGCACAAGCCAAGTGCAGGCTTCTTTAGGGTGCAAACAAAGAGCAGAATGCTACACCACAATTTCTTTCAAGGTGCTATTTCAGATACCTCCACTTAGTGCATAGAAAACCGCCTATATTACATTAATACCCTAGTAGGCCACGTAATAAGATTAACAGTGCTTACATATGTCATACCTCCATAGAAAAATGTTTCATTGACCCCAGCTTTATAGCACTTTCTTTCACTAAGGTTGCCCTTTTCTCAGGCAATGGCTGGTTATATTGCTCCGAACAGCCATACCTTTATTGACAAGGTATCACAGGTGATTTGAATACTATCTGGTAGTCTAATTATGTACAAAAGTATTATTCAGGCAAAACTGGAGGCTTCACTAGGATATAGGTTGGGATTTCTTGGCACACGTCTGTCTATAAAAGGATTCTTCTACCCAAACAGACGAACATTCTCTTTCTCTTCACTACACTGCTCTCAATCCTCTCAAACCAGCTTGGAACCTCAGAATCTTCAGACATAACCACTTTCGTCGGTTACCTCGGTCTTAGCTTATGAAAACTACAAAATGCTCTTCAAGACTCTGATCGCTGCCCTTATGGCAGTTGCAGTTATTGCTGTGCCTACAAAGACTGGTACCTCTACCTCCTAGTCATGTGCGATACTACTAACTGAGGCATCTCATAGACGCGAAGCGTGAATCCGACTCTGTCGACTTCTACATTCATACTCCTGGAACCATCCACACTGGAGCTCCCGATGTTGAGAAACGTGACGAGTTCACTTGGCCTCCTCCACCGATTTGCACACCTCACCCTTGCACTGAGGGGCTCAACGAGTAAACGCAGTTCAAGTCACACCCTTGTAAGGTATTGAAGGTTGAGAAGGATGGTGGCTACAAGGATACCAAGGCAGAAGTACTTGGAATAGAGTTGGACGTGGGATGTGATAAGTAGTTGCTTAGGCGCTGAGAGATACCTAAAATGCTTGATCAGCTGGTTAAAATCAAGTACAATAAAATTTACAGTTGAATGCAGAAATCTGATCATACATAGAAGAACCTCGAGTATAACCAACAAAATACGGAAAGACACACACATAAATATGTAAGAAAAAGTCCATAGTGCCCAACATTGTTTTGGACGGAAATGATCTGTAGTTTATAACTGAGCATGAATATCAGGTACAAAATATAAATGCCTCTGTTCTTATTTTTTCAGCAATGCAAGCCCTAATACAGAGAGTAGTCATGACTGTGGTCAGCTGTCAAACTGTCAGTTGATCGTCAGATATCCCCGGTTTCAAATGAACTCGAGAATGCCTCCTCTAGTTCCAGGCTGTCTTCTGGCGCATTGTGATGTATCTGGCACCCTTTGTCGATAAGAAGTCTTGCCACTGCCCCTCATAGCCTTTGTACGATGCATATGATAGTGTTGTATATCCACCTTGATCTTGAAAATTGACATCAGCACCGTTATCAACAAGAGGCCTTGCAATCACCACATGTGATGCCCAAATCAGCGATGTTCATTCATATACATGAATGGTGCTGGGATGAAAAGGTTTGATGATGCCATTCATCGTTACATGACGAGGGTGCCACAGAAGAAAATAACTACAATGCCTTAGGAAAGATCCTCATTAACATCAGCTGAGATACATCCAAATGCCTCCCTTCGGCCTCGCTTTCTAACATCAACCTCAGCTCCGTGATCAATGAGAAGCCTTACAATTGCCTCATGACCATTCACTGAGGCATAATGGAGTGGTGTGTTGCCATCCAAATCTCGAGCATCAGCATTTGCTCCATTATCAATGAGATATCTCACCATTGTCTTATGACCATTTAGTGAGGCATAATGAAGTGCTGTGAACTGACATGAATCACTGGAGTTGATATCTGATCCATGATCAATAAGAAGCTCCACAAGTGTCTCATAACCATTCCATGAGGCATATAGCAGTAGTTCCCATAAACCAATGCCACTGATATCAACATCAGCTCCTTTTTCAGCAAAAATCCTCACTATTGACTCATGATCTCCCAGCAAGGCATATAACAGTGGTGTCATACCCACATCGCTCTTGGCATTAATATCGGCCCCCTTATCAACAAGAAGCCATATAATTGACTCATTATCGTGATCTCCCAGCAAGGCATATAACAGTGGTGTCATACCAAAATCACTTTTAGTATTAATATTGGCCCCCTTATCAACAAGAAGCCGTATGATTAACTCATTATCGTGATCTCTCTCTATGGCCAATAAAAGTGTGTCATACCAAAATCACTTTTAGCATTAATATCGGCCCCCTTATCAACAAGAAGCCGTATGATTGACTCATTATTGTGATATCTCACCAAGGCCAGTAAAAGTGGTGTCATACCAAAATCACTTTTAGTATTAATATCGGCCCCCTTATCAACAAGAAGCCGTATGATTGACTCATTATCGTGATCTTTCTCTATGGCCAATAAAAGTGGTGTCATACCAAAAT